GCAGACAAACTCGCGCTCCGGATTGGTCCCTCCAACGAGCACTTCCCACTCCAGTATTAATTTTAATAATGGCCTTTAAAAAAAAAATGGCGGTAACGGTGTTGCGTTTTGTAACTCAAATGGCAACTTCCTTTCCAGCCTACATCACAATCCATTGGACAATTGTGCATTTCACCTCTAATCCGTACCTCCAATGCAAGTGGACCATGGGGTAGGCAGGATTTCTTTTTTTTGGGGGGGGGGGGGGCGGGGGGGGGGGGGGCAAACTAACAGCCTTTTTTGGGCGTGTGCGCTCAAGGGGAAAAGGGGGGAGGGGGGGGGGGGGGGGGTCCCACAATGAAATGCGAAAGAGCTAAATATAGCTTGCAAAATACACATGACAAAACTAATCCCTGGAGAAGGGGATTAATCCCTTCTCCAGGGTTTATTTTCGTCATTCTTGTCCAGCTCGCTTGCACCTTTGCATTTAATTGCATTATAAAGAGTACAAATATTTTTTATGAAACAATTATTTTAAAAAGTACAATGCATCAGCAATTGCAAGGTAAAAAAAAATTCATTTCTATAAATACGTGCATGCACAGTAAAAAAAAAAAAAAAAGAAAAAAAAAAGAGAAATTTGTTTATGTCGCGGCAAAACAACAAAACAGCCCACTTAGTTTATAATTCTCTCAGAGATAAAAAAAAATACAAAGATCTTATAGACAAGTATTGGCATCATAAATGTACCGTACACAATAAAATAGTAAGACAGTGCACGGAAGTCACACGCACTGTTTTGCGTGTGACTTGCAAGTCACAGCAATGAACAATACCTTCTTGTTTCCATATTTAACAATATTTGACGTTTATACAATTTTTAAAAGCTACCCCAAGTTGGCCTCTGCTCAAATTTACAACTCTATTTTTCTGCACAAAATTGTCTTCGCTCGTAATATTAATTCGAAGCATTTCCCGGGTTGTGGTCCGTGGAAGACATCTGAAAGCTGCTTTAGCTGTGTTGGAAAGCTAGCACGGCGGGGCTACCGCCGGAGGGCTAGTTGCCATTGTAACTTTCCGTATTTCCTCGACGCGGGTTCCCTTAGCTTGCCATGCTCGCTCTGTCTCATTTCAGAACTGGAGTACATTTAGCCCGCTGGTTCTTATCTTTATATTGGTTGTTATATATTTGATAAACTCAAGCTCAGCTTTGCATGAATACTCCCACAGTTAAAGACGAGTTTGACATACCCGTGAGAGTCGAGTTGAGGGCAAAGCCAATGTCCAGCTGACTTTTTAAAGCCGGAGGATGATCAGGAGTGACGGAGACAGCAGGTGCATCGATAGATTCCGGGTCATGACACGGCTCTGAGGTCACATGCTTCTTCGTTGCACAAGATAGATTGTCATTATCACTGTCAGCTTTCCGCTTAAAAAAAACTTCTGATGTCCATTTTCACTCCTGACCCATATCAGTCCACGGTTATATAAAAAAAAGTGGGATTGGGTGCTGAATGTGGCCCTTTCAAGCAACTAAGCCAGAAAGAGAGAGCTAGCAACAGCAAAGTGTGCCCACAGCTATTCGAGTGTCACGCGTGTGAACACGGTGGTGTCAACGAGGACGGTCCGACACTCCTCTCCCGCGTGAGTTATGACCCGGGGGAGTATCGTTGTTGACACGGTGCGAACAGAGTTTCGCAAAACTGCATTGTCCAAAAGAGGACGCCTATAGCCCCGATTTTGACCACTCTCTTCTCCTTTCCCATGACCGCAACATGCTACGGGCAAAGGAGAAGAAAAACCCAAAGGAACATATACAAAACAGAGCACTGGCGTAGACAGGGGGTTGGTTTGGGGAGTCGAAACCTCCCCAAAACGCCAAAACTGCCCCCCCCCCCCCCCCCCTCTTCCCTCCAGGGCTCACTCGCTCCAGTCTTTACGAAGACGGAGCGAAGGGAAAGCGCGGACTATCTCCAACTCGTAGCTACGCCGATTTGTTCTGTTGGGCTCTTTGGAAGAATTGCAACGTTAGGTGGCTTTACAGTGGCCAGTCTGGTCACGTTTATTATGAAACGAAACAACTCAACAGATGAGTGAAAATCCCAAAATTAAACCCCCTACTTTTGTCCCCGGTCTCCGAAAATCGAATTGAAGCCGATCCTCCAGAATCCTCAAGGGGATCCTTTTGTAGGCTCGTAGGGGCCTCCTTTCCCCTCAGGGACCGACCAATCCCTTCAAATTTCATCACTCCCAGGTAGTACACTGGTCTCCAATGGTTGGCGAGCTGTCAGCCTCGCGCTCCAACCGCCAAATCCAAATTCTTTCTAGAGTCAATCCCTGCATTTTTTTGCAGACTAGCTGGCGCCAACAGCTAAATTATTACATCGGGTAAAAAGCGACAATTTGATACTATGCGGCGAAACCCTCTATATACAGGCACACTCGGTTACAAGCCACAAGCAGCGATGCGCCCGCACATGCTCTCCCCAAAGCGCCGACACCAACATAAAAAGTAAAAAAAAAAAAAGAAAAAAAAGAAAACAATGCTGACGTGATCTTGGAAAGATAAACTTTTCTAACAAAAAAGATACCTTAAATAATAAGCAGGATTTCTACATACTTAACAATCCCGCTCTGTGTAGAAAACGCTCTGTTTTTGGGGCATTCTACTGACTTTCACCCGCATGCCTGTGATTCCTCACAACACAGGACTGCGGTGTTCTCGGAAGAAAGTGATCCTCCTCATGTTTTTTTTTTTTTTTTTTTTTTGCCAGCTAGGCGCGGCTGATTGCAGCTGACCGAGGGTAGACCTTATTCTTTTTGTGTTTATTGCTGAAGGATCCAAAGGAAAGAAAAGTGCGTGGATTTTATTTTTAGGATAGCTTTCGGTTACTCCGTTTGCTAGAAAGCTATTTCGCGACGTCATTCGATCCCCCGTACCCGAGAGCCGTCGTGACCGAGAGAGCTGGGGTAGGAAGGGGGGCGGGGGGGGGGGGGGGGGGGGGGGGGAGTGCCTCTTTTGCGCCCCCCTGCCGACGCCCATGAAGTGGAGCACTGAAGACCTTCAATAATACATCAGACCCATTGCATTGGACTCGCTTATTCTTGCTTCTTTTTTTATTTGTATCGTTGTTTATGATAATCGAGGTGCAAACTGAGCAATAACATCTTCATTTTAACCCATGAGTCGGGATTGTTAGTTTTTTTTTTTTTTTTTTTCTTACGCGTTTATCATTTGCTTGACGTTATGAAAGCAATGACGAATGAGCTGTGTTCATGCATGAAGCGCCTGGCCGCTTTACATGACGCCAATCAGAAGACGGCGTTCCAGGAATATCGAAATTGCTACGGTTATAATGGGTCAATTCCCCACTGCCGACATGTTTCCCCGCCGGTCGCTTCCTTCCTCCATCCACTACAGAAGAAAAAGCCCAAGGTTGGTTCAAGGCCGAGCACTGGAAGACAAGAATGGTTTCCTCGAGTGATAAACGTGCGCATTAACCGCGACCCGATTCAGGCACGGCATGACGAAATTCGATTAAAGCTCCCCAGACAATCAGCTTTAGCTTCCTTGTTGTTGTTATGACCAAATCGGCGCAAAAAAAAAAAAAAAAAAGCTTTTTTATGGATTATACAGAGCAAGCCTCCCATTTTCCTACAAACACGTGTAAGGCATCGACATTTGGGGGGAGAAGGGGGGGGGGGAGGTGGTGAGGCTAATTATTGTAGCCATGTGCAACTAGCCCAATCGTCAACAATAAATTCAAAACAACAACAACATGATGATAATAATAATAATAATAATAAAGTTTATTGCTCCTCTTTGATACTAGTCGGAATGAATGCAGGTTCGTCAAAGCCATCAAGGGCTTGTGGAACAGAACCTAAGTTGAAGTGACATGGAGTAAAGTATTAAGAGCAGAAACGTTAAGCATCACAGTAGCATCAAGAAAAGTATTAGAAAAAAAAAAAAAAAAGCTGGAGCATCGCATTTTCATAATAATAATAATAATAATAATAATAATAATAATAATAATAATAATAATAATAATAATAATAATGTTTGCACTTGAAAATATTTCGTACAGACGCTTAGGCCTAAGGTATTTGTGGCCGAGTGTCTTAGCGCACCGCAGCTCGGAGCACGTGGAGCGAAAGCCCGCCCTGCAGAACCCAGGGATTCTGGGTTCAATCCCCACCCCTGCCCGTTTCCATCTATCGTAACTGCGCGCGGTCGTGTATCGCTACTATTCACTATTGCGGGACTCAGGTTAACAGGCTAGCGTTGGTGCTGTCTAAATTTCTCATCTACAGCGGAGACGCCAGCTAGAACTTTTCCAGCGCGTAACTAGGGTACAGTTCAGTAACTGCTAATCGTAGTTGAGCGGAACTGAATTTTAAGAGGCCTAGCGGGCGTCTTTAATTGCAGTTAAGTTCGACCTCAGTTTGTGTAAATGTACATGCGGTCAATTTTTCTTGGCGATGACGATGAAGCCCCAGCCATGGGTACCCGTGATTAGGCCTTGAATGACTCGATCCTTCCCTAACAAACTTGTACGAAATAACAGTTTTGCTTGAATAGGACAATAGAGAGTTTTAGTATATCGTTCCCATGACTCCGATAGCGATACCCGATACTGCGCCACCGCCTCCCTTGCGCATGCATGGTATCGTTATCGGGGCTATCGGAGGTATCGGAACGATCTACTAAAACTCTCTAGTATTAAGTACCGAAAAAGCTACGTACTTTTGTTTTACAAACGTATCTCGCAACAAAACCTTTATTTAAAGACCCAAGAAAAAGGTTCAACCACTCGATTCGGCGCTCCTAAACCAAAACCAAAACAATGTGAAAAGCCAAAGTTTTAGCGAAAAAAAAGTGAAATACAAAACAAGAAAAAGAAAAATAATTCTAGGTTGTATGACGCTCAGAATGGATCTATCACTACGAATATCATAGCTCGATAAAGTTGCAGTTGATAAAGGCTGGATAAAGGTACCAAGCAGTAGACAAGTCAGTTAATACAAAGTCAGTCGTGTTGCGGCCGAGCCTAGCCAAGTCACAAATTAATTTACGACTGTTTGCGCCACAGTGGTTTGCGCAGTTTGCGCTAATTTGCGTGCTTTTACTGCCGCACTCGGCTCTTTGATAATGGGAATAAGATAAACGGTCAATTACTTACTCTGTATCTCAGAAAACGACGAAGATAGTACACTTTTGGTATTGTCAGCCATTTGTTCTCTCCGCCCTGGTATTCACGAGGGAGGCTCGTGAACGTTGTCTACTGCGTGCTAAATGCATGTTCGGAAGACACCAAAGACAGAAGAAGCATTTAATATTTAATTAATATTCGTGCGGACGGTGCGGGACCATCGAAATGGCCTTAAACAGGTAAGACATCGCTCAATAGCCATGAAAAATGTAAGCGTGGAGTGCGCCGATGGAGAGCTTCTATCTGACACGCCCATATGAGTAGCGTCGGTGTTGTGGTTTCTAACTTCGTGCTTTGTCGATATAGGGCACTCGCCGTCCTGCTGCAGCGTACAGGCTACAAAAACAGCTTTGGCACAGGGCTACGAAGGAACATCATCACTTGCCATGAAGTCGTTCGTCCAAAAACAACCGGCGAAGGTGAGCTTGGCATCCCGAATAAGGCGAGGAAATACAAAGGGCCCGATCGGCACGAGCGTAGGGTATTAATAACCTTTACGTCTCGCCCAGCACGTTGTTGAGTGGGGAAACGGAGCAAATTTCAGAAGGCCGAAGGGACCGGGGAGGTTGGTTAAACTCAACTCGCATATTCCAATTCAACCTAAAAAAAGTGACCTAAAAAAAAATTTTTTTTTTGCCATATTCGTATTTTTTGGCACAAGTATTTTGTATAGCAATATATTCCTTCAGTCAAAACGGAGAAAGTTATGGGGGTCAGCATCTTTCTAGATTTAGCCAACCCTCCTTAATTGAGCATTAATTGCTCTGACATTGCTGCTTGTAGTCAAGGTGTGAATGCTTTATGACCATGACAACTATGACTCCATGCAAAAACCAAAGCCTTAGCTACTTTATAATAATAGCTTATAGGCTATCTGTTCATGCTTTCGAGTAATTAACTTTTTAATTAGTAAATTTGTAGACATGGTTTCAATTAGAAATTTTCTGAGCATAATCAAAAACTACTGTGGTCGCCGACAGAGTGAGAACGGCAGGAAGTTGTCTTTCCAACGTCCGGCATGCGCTCCATGCCTTTCATCATGCGCTCCATGCTTTCCATCATGCTTTGGCTGTGCGTGCATGCTGGAGGTGAACGAGCCACCGAAGTGTTGTCAAAGGTGGGAAGCTTGCATTGCTGGGGGTAGGACAACTGAAGTCCTTCCTGCCGTTTTCATCTTTTCAGTGACTATGCGGCGAGCAGGTCGTCTGCTTTTTGCGCAGGGGTTCCAGTGACGTCAGAACGGCACCGAGTTCAGATTGACTTTGATTGTAGGATAGTGGGTAGACCTCAAGCAAGCTGCCTTGAGGTTTACCCACTATCGTTCAATCAGATCCAATCAGAGCTCGGCGTTTTGTTGTCACCACTACCCCCCCCCCAAGAGAAGCAGACGAACCTGTGCTCCGCATTAGTGCCGTTTACCAAAAATTCGTCTCTGAATCAGTGGTTCCGCTCCCCTGCGGCCTAAGCGCGCAACTACCGTGCGTCGCCTTGCATTCTTTGCACGATTGAAATGAAAACCAAGGACCAAAACTTATTCTGACAATGTCATTCGAACAGTGTGTCATTTCAAACCGCCGGCTCGCGCCATACTTTTCTCTCTCCTACGAGGAAGGCGATGCGTGGCTGCGCGCTTGTTCATGGGGGACAGGACCGCTGACATGGAGATGAGCTCCGATTGTAAACTGAAACTCAGAAATGCGTCCAAATTTAGTGGTTTTTTTTTTTTCCTCTGAATTTCATAAATGTGGTGCGTGCCTTACATTTCTTTAAGGTGCCACTGATTTCGCAGTTTTTGACGATACCGGCAAAGTTTCTAATCACAACCATGCCTTTAAATTTACAAATTAAAAAGCTGATTACTCGAAAGTAGTTGTAACCCTAATTATACTGAACTTTATTTATTTTGTTAAATAATAGACCCGTTGGCAGAGACCACTATGACATAAACCTTTTTCCTGTGTGATGTATACTTTTCGCGGGAGCGATTTGACCAGCATTCTAAAACACTCTGTAAAGCAACAAAGACAAAAGCAACAAAGACATGTGACGATGAGGAGTGTTTTTTGTTTTCTCCTCTCCATTCAGTTCTCGATGCCCTTAAAAGCCACGTTGGATACACTGGTGACCACCCCGCATTTGCGTGAGTACACCTCCAACGGAGCTTTTTAACTATTTCACGAGCTGCATCGCTTTGCGCAGAATGATTCGAGGTTAAGATGCTGAAAACGATAACCGCTTGTTCTGTTTCAGCAAGAAGTTACCCAGGCACGTAAACATTACATTTTTGCTCCTACTAGTGTGGCACGTAAGGATGGAGTAGATGCGAAGTCTGATACACGCTAGAAGTGCTCACCCGAGTGAGGAAGGGTGTGGAACAGAGCCTTTCAGGCTCTATGGAAACTGTTTCTAATCTAAATCTACAGTGAGAGCTGGGTGGATCTAACCTATTTTAATTGAGCCACAAAGTTGAGTTCTACATGCTCTGACACTGTAATTTAACGCAAAGGTGCAGCTGGGTGGTGCATTTGTTTTTACAGCATAGCTGTTATGCGTCCGCAGATGTTGAGAGAAAAGTCCCCATTGGTCGTGGCAAGTATAAATAAAAATAAAAAGAGGGGGCAACCAGCGTGAGTCAGCCTTCCTTGCCATTATTAGATAGTGAGGTCCTGATCCCTTGTTATCATCTCTAGGCATCGTCCTCGAGGTCGTCCTAGAAGTCATCCTTGAGGTCGTCCGAGAGGTCGTTCTCTAGGCGTCGTCCTCGAGGTCTCCTTAGAAGTCATTCTTGAGGTCGTCTTAGAAGTCCTTGAGGTCGTCTGAGAGGTCGTCGTCTAGACATTGTTTTCGAGGTCGTCCTAGAAGTCTACCTAGACGTCGTCCTCTAGGTCGTCCGAGTAGTTGTCCTTGAGGTCGTCCTAGAAGGTGTCCTTGAGATTGTCCTTGAGGTTGTCCTCAAGGTCGTCCTAGATGTCCTCTAGGCATCGCCCTAGACGTCGTAAAAATAACAGCTTCGCTGGTCCTCCATCTTCACGTGAAGTGGAAGGGCTCTACAATTTTATGTTGAACTGACTTATTTTGATTGCTTGTTCATTGCAGCCAGTAACTATATCTGTAGTTATAACACCTACCATAATATACCGAGCAAGAAGTCACTTTCTTGCTCAGTAAAACACAGAGAGAGAAAGTCAGAGATAATGTTGAAAACCTGGTGGTGGGCACTTGCCAAGTCAGAGAGCAAAAATCTGGAAGGGGTGCAAGTTAGGGCGGGCTTTGCTGCTTGGCACCAGTGCTTATGTGCCAAGCTTCATTGCTTTGCCTCGGCATGCTTGGAGAAGCGGCTGACACGAAGGAGCATCTTGGTTAGCAAGGCGTGCGCCTGGGATGGGTTCTTGATATGTCCTTTGCTTTTTTTACCCATAATGTATCACGTGGGCAATTATTGTGATGTTGGAAACATGCTTGATAATTTGCAATAAAATCACGCAAGTTTGGTCAAGCGCTATCGTTGGGCAAAAGGTAGCATGTTGGATGATTGACATTTCTAGCTTAAACTAGTTATCAATAGTGGTAGGTACTTCTTCATATAAAACAGAAAATTTTGCGACCTAGTTAGGTTCTGTGCCGCCCCACGATGGGTGGACTACAGCTAGAGCTATGTGCCGCCAGGTCCAATCGCAAGTTAGTTAGCAGCCACAAGGAACGTTGCTCCAAATTTTGTTTCAGAGTGTGCGCCTCGGTGCACTGATATGCACGTTCGAGCTATGTGCTGTGTGGTCTCTAGTTGGCCCGATATTGGTCAGGGCGGCCCATGGCCTTGGCTGTAGTTTGTCATATGGTGTGACTAAGTATAGTATCATCCAAAATATTTAGGAACAAGTTTCTGCCCAGCTATACACTCCACGGTCCACCTTACGATGAACCGCAGAGGACGCTACGAGCCATTGAAGCCAATCCAATGCCCCGCAAGTGTCACGCCACCTTTGGGGGTGCACAGCGACGCTCGGAGCTCATAGTTATGCGATGCGATCAAGTTCTGGATTGGTTGGGATGGCTCGTAGCATTTGCCGCAGTCCATTGTAAGGTGAAACGGAGTGTAGAAAACCCACAACTTACGGGCGCATAATGACGCCTCGTCTTTGCCTGTGCTCAGGTCGGGTTCACTGCCCAAGCTTCCGACGTCACAAGACGAGCTACCGCCAAGGTCAATGCGAGACAGCTACGACGAGTGCATCATCCCGTTGGCCACGTCGCTTCAGGTACAGAAGAGCCACATCTCGGCGAGTGGCATTGTTCGCTTTGGCCGCATCCTCGAAGACATGGACGTGTTTGCAGGTACTCCTTCTAATTCTTTTGGGTAATGCATGTTGGCTGTTATCCTCTTTTCGGCAGGAACTGATTTGTTTCTGTAGGAGCCACAATACTGTTCTTACAGTCTCTTTACTGCCCCCAATGTTCCGTGGTAATCGTGACTGTTTAGATGGTTTTGTGTTGCCTGAGAGCCTAGTTTATTATGCTAGTGTGCCACAGCATTGTACTATGATTCGCAGGAAGTGGAGAAAAGACCATGTTGTTTTGTAAAACTGGTATTTTGGCCAAAGGAATGGAAACAAAGTTTGGTATAACAGCAATACGGGTTTTCGGTCATTTGAAGCCAATAGAAATAATGGAAACAGCGCGCAAACGACAAGGACGGGAGGAAAAGGAGTACACAGGACCGTCCTCCCGTCCTTGTCGTTTGCGCGCTGTTTCCATTATTTCTAAGCATGAACCAACTCGCCCACATCGCTACTCTGAAGCTAATAGCCAGTGGTTAGCCAGTGGTCAGCCAGTGGCTAATCACTGTCTGGCTACAAGTAGGTAATCATTCAGTAAGCTCTACATTATGATCTGCCATGTCCTACACAGTCATAGGCGTGCGCAGCAGGGAGGGGGCCAAGCATGTTATGGCCCCCCGTGATGACTCTGGAGAGCACAAATTCAGTAGAATTCTAGTTTTGTTGGGCAACACAAAAAAAAAATTGAGCCTTACTGAATATGCACTCCACCGGAGTCATTAAGGGGGTCCATGGCATGTTTGGGCCCCCCCCCCTCTGCACGCCATGCAAATTAGTGGAGTGCTCCAGAAATGGCACAGTGCTGCCCGCAGGTTGTTTTTCTGTGTGGCACTTAAAGATGTCGGTACACGCTTCTGTTAGGTCATTTTTGGCCGTCTATTTCTGTTGCTTTCTTTTTTTTTGTACTCACCACACTGACTTACTACTGCTTACTTCAGGCTTGCAGTTTGGGGCAAGCAATAGTGGTGTTATATTTTACATGCAACAAGAAATGTAATGTGTGGTCGCAGCCAGTGGCCAGCGCACACCGTTTCACGTTGCCAGGGTCGGTGCTCGTTTCCGCTCCCTATCTTCCTCTGTCTAGTCTCTTCCGCAGTCTTTTGGAAGCGTCCAGCATTTATAAACCTGTCTCCTACACGCCCATTGCAGTCTGGCTCTGCTACCGGCACCTGCAGTACCCGGGCATGAGCTTCGGGGTGCCCATGCCCGTGAATGTGGTGACGGCCCTGGTGGACAACATCCACAGTGAGAGCATCGAGTTCCCCACCCACTTTGACATCAAGCTGCGGGGACACATCTCCTGGGTGGGCAGGACCTCCCTCGAGTCCACCATGGAGGTGCTTCTGGTGAGCGGCGCTCCATACTCTCCCTGTTTCCCCACCCCCCATTTTTTTTTTTTTTAAATGGCCACAAATAGGCTTGGCAGAGTTATGCTTCACTTGTGCTTATTTGGAAAAAGACATTTTACAGGTATGGATTTATTATGAGCATTTTGACTGGGCAGGGAGTGGAGGAGGAGTTGTATAGGTGGTTAATACTGTGAAGACTGGTTAGGAGCTGCACACACACCGTCGTCGGGGCCCGACGTTGAGGAGAGACAGTACCCAGCACTAGTTCCGGCACATATAACTTTATCTAAACTTGGCTTGAGTTCGCGACACAGACAACTGCTACGACGTTCTCCGTCCGAAGGCTTGCGATGGCTAACCGCCCCTTTTTGCTGTTTTCTCCTCTTTGTCCTCTTTTCTTCCCCTGGCCGCAAGGCGAGGATTCTTTTTAATCTGGCGCGAACGCCACGGTGGGACACACACACACTTACGTGCCTGCACGCACAGCACCGAATGAGTCGGTAATACACTCCGTCACAATACCTCTGCATTAGGATTTTTATGCACTGTGTAATGCACTTTTGTAGGTTTGTCATAACGTATGCTAGGCCCTTCGTTCCCTTAACCAATATGTTCGCTTTGTGTTACACAGCGTGAGTAGGTGTCAGCATTATAGACTGAAAGGTATTTTAAATTGTACTGCATCGTGTTGTTAGGTGCAATATGTAGTAAAACAAGGATGCAGAATTAGACACGATCAGTGGTGGTGCTTTGTACTACCTTTTCTTTTAATGCGTTATCTTTATTTATTTATTTTTATACCCTCAGGGCCCAGGGGGCGTCACAGAGGGTGTGGGTACAAGGTGTAATTAAATACATAAAAATGTAAAATAACAAAAACAAAAAATTAACAAAGTGCAGGATTAGAAAAGTGTTTGGTTATGGCTGTCTTGAAGGATGAGGCATCTTCAGTGGAGGGGATGAAAGGGGGAAGGGGGTTTCAGCCAGTTGATCAAAGTGTAATTGCCCTGAAACGCGAGCTCAAGTGGCAGCCTCTACAGAATTGTCGTCAATGCTTCCACCTCATACCCCTCCACAGCATATTATCAGTGTGGAATCGACAAAAAAAAAATATTTACTTCCACCTCACTTCATCGCTCAGGGATTGGATCATAGGAAAAAATGAGGCCTTTCACATGCAAAACAGGCATTTACAAATAGTCATTTTTCCCTTGCACTATACTCAACTGGAAAAAGCTACCTAAAGAGATAGTCTCAACAAATGTAAACTCTCAATTTTTTCATGCATTGTCAGATTCTTAATGCTTATTCTTTCTATGCACTTCCACTTTGTCTGTATACGTTTACGAATGTATATAGCTTTATGCTGGTTTGGGTTTTAGTTTTTTTCTCTATTTGCATGTAATTTGCTGCAGGTAAGGCATCTTTTTGAGTTATGATTGTCTAAACCGCTAAGTGTTTTTTTGGCATCAAGTTCTTTGTATTTGCCCCTCCCCCACTACAGTCTAAGCTCGTTATAACAGACCTTGATTTTGACCAAGATTTTGGTCTGTTGTAAGAGGGGTATGTTGTATGCAGATATGAAGTTAAGTCAATAGATTGTAGAGGAAAACCAACTTAACTTCACAAATCGGTATGTTATGTCCAAATGTCTGTTGTAACCAGGTCTGTTGTAATGAGCGTAGACTGTATAACGCCCTCACGGGTGCTTTAAGGTTATTGAAATAAATAAATAAATATTCGGTTATAGGGGAAAATTTTATGAAAAAGAGAAAAGTTTAAAACTTTTTTTTTAAATTGCAAGTCAGGAAGCCCAAGATTATAGTAGATTTCTTTAATAAAATGCTAGCAAGACGGAAATAGTAAAAAGGATGTTAGGTTCTGTGGTGTTCTGCGATGTGAGGATAACACTGACATTGTTTGCGCACTCACAATGTCACAGTTGGCTCCAGACGAGACTCCAAAGATGCTGACGGCAAAGTTTGTCATGGTTGCAAAGAAGGCCTCGTCAAAAGAGTAAGAGCTTCAACGACGTTATGACATAGCTTGGCAGTAAAGCCGAGCATGGTACTAATCACACTTGGGCTTTTATTGTTTGCAACAGGGCAGCAGTTGTCAACAAACTGGTGCCCAGCAATGCCGAGGAAGAGGCCATTTTTCAGAGGGGGGAAGGTAGGTTTGTTATTGCTGTTACAAACACATGTTACAAGCGTCGGAAACAAAGTGCTATTTTGTCGGCGAGTTGGGCTAGTTGGTTGCTCATTCTTAAAGTTAGACGCCGAAAACAATGAGGACGCAAGAGGATATGCAGTCGAACGAGGACACCTTGTCCAGTCTGCATCTCTTCTTGTGTCCTCATCGCTATTTTGTGTCTGTCTTTTCTCTCTTTGCATCCCGGTTTTTCTACATGTTCAAGCTCGTGACACCTGAGCGAAGATGGCAAAGGTCGGGGCGGAGTGTTGCAGCATTCTCTTTGAAATCAAGCTGAGAAGCTTGAGTCTTATATTTTGTTTCTGGATACAAGTAGCGTGACATTGCATAATGGTTTGTGTAAGTTTCTCATGTGAGCCAAAACTGCATAGCTGAAGTTCTTTGTTGTTATGACACACTGGTGGTACAAGGGCCATTCAGAGGCGATAACCGAGTTTTAAGCGCGAAACACATGTACGACGAAACCGTCCGATCCGACGTCCAACCGCGCAATACGACGGTCGGAGGCGAGGGTTTTCAACGCTCTCCGATCAACACCTCCTAGAAGACAAGGCCGTAGTGCTCTTCTCGTGACGTCGCAAAGGAAGGCCATCGGGGGCGCGCGTCGAAGCGAATGCAACGCGCGTAGATAGACCGTCGTAACGCGTTTTAGTCACATACGCGTGTCATATTAGCTAAAATGAAAGCTGCAGATAGCAACGGGTCTAGAAAACATTTTATTACTCGAGCAAAATATTACACCGCTAAATAATCGGTACGAAATGGCACGAGGTATGCGTACAAGACGTCTATCGAAAAATGTGATTGTTTTAAGTCGAAAACATTGAGTCATGCAATTATTGTTGTAGGAATGCATATTTTATACAGAAATACTTTGACAAAATGGCGAGACACGCAGTGATTTTGAAACAGCAAAACAGAACAGTTAAAAATCAGGTAGACATAGTCAACGCGGACAAGGCAAGACAAGCGTTTCTCACGATCATGTGAGCGACGTTATCGCGTGCAGTCACTGAATTCTTGCATCATACCCCGGCCACATGGCAAAATTAATGTAATTTCGATCGAATGACGTTATAGGGTCGACAAATCCGCTTGCGGCGCTCGTATAATCACTCAAGACCGCGAGCTGATTAAATCCTATATCACTGAATGAAAATATATTAACGTTTCCCTGTGGCAGGGGTACTAAACTTACTACTTAGTTTACTAATTTACTTCTCCCTATGGGCTCGAGCTGCCTTAGAACAAAACATAACTTATTTTGTATATAATAATACTATCACCTTAATACAGTTAAGATTCTAGTATAAATGCGGAAAAGGCAATAAAATAACTTTAGTATAAATAAACACAGAACCACAAACAACTCACTTTCAATAATCACACAAACTTGATTTTCATCTTCCAGTGAAAACTAGATTAGCGCGCATATTTACAAATGTCGACGCAACTGCATACGAATAATGACAAGGAACAAAATTGCAATTTATCATGCGATTAAAAAAAAAAAACGATTGCAGCATCTTACTTGCGTCCTACATGAACAAGAAAGCCCGTAAATAAGTTGTTTCTCACCTGTCGATCGTATCCATACGTCCCACAATATCCGTGACGAACACATTTGAACACGAACTCCAAGAAGCCTCTCTTTGTCGAGAGGGAGGTCTATCGATTAGTCGACCAGAGCCTTCGTTGGCTAGTTGTCACACGTCACTCAAACCGTAGCAGGACTTGTTTCACGAATGCACGTAAATGCCATAGTATCAAGCGAACACAAAAAAAAAACTACCCGAGACTACGGTGATGACAGAAATACGACGGGAAACAAGTCTCAAAAGTACCACACACGAGAGCAGCGGCGACGAAAGGCTTAACGTTGTCGACCCATCTCTTGCTGGTGTGCGCTCCCTGCGACAACGACTGGATTTCTTTTCGGTTTGCTTCCCTTCTGAGATGTCTCAGCGTTCCTTTTCAGACAGTCAGCAGCTCCAACACAACATAAATTTACCAGAATCGGAGCCATGTGGCATCAGCAGCATCGCAGCCGGTCCTTTCGAAAAGTGTGGGGTGCTGCGGAACTGCACGTAGTCCCGCGGTTACGGGAATACTCATAAATATAATTTTGGTACTCTCAACCTTGGTAGCGCGTTATATAATACGTTTATATTATATATATAATAAATTGTACAAGACTGCGCCTTTAAAACGGATATTAATGTCGGATAAACGCGCATGAACGAACACCACTGCGCCGCTTGTCAAGGGACATTGTTTTCACGTCGATAGCGTATTCTCACGTAGTTGCGCCATGGACTTCCTTCCTCCGCCATTGTGACGTTACCTCTCAGAGCGCTCTGGCCTTCTTCTCTAGGAGGTGTTGCTCCGATGCTACGAAAACCCTCTCCCCCCCAAGGTCATTCCGGCAGTCCGCATGTCGGATCGGAAGGTTTCGTCGTACATCTGTTTCGCGCTTTAGTGCAGCTTTACCTTCACACCGTTATCATCACTGTCATGCCGAAATTGAGCCAGAAAATTAACACAAAGAAGGCGTCTCGTCTAACCATTTTCTTCTTTTATGATTTCTTTCCCAGCGGCAGTAACATAATAGCTGGCTTGTACATTTTCTTTTGCACTATGTGCCTGGCCCAGTTTTGCCATAGCAGTAATGATAACACTACGTTAAGACCCTTTAATGATCCACTCGCAAGGTACTCCCAGTTTTTGTTTTGTGATCTTCGCTTTTCTTCTCTTATGCCCGGTGGGAGAGAAGTCGCAGAATCAGTGTTATTAATTGTGCCAGCTCGGGTTCCGGTTTCAAGAAGACTCGTCTTTGAATCATAGTTGCAGCAGTAAAAAAACTGATAGTAGATTATGAAAGGCAATCCAAAATTAAGTGTCTACTACAGCTAATGTTCAACTTTAAGAAACATACACAGTGGTATAGAGTTACCCCCTTAAAAAACACTCTAAAGAAAGTTTTTTTTACCAGTCTGCGAAAATGACAAAAATTGCAAAAGAAAATTTCTAAAAAAAAATGTTTTTTTTTGTAAATTATTTACAGCACTAGACTTGTTTTAGTTTAGAGCTTCCAAGTGCACATGCCGAAAATGGGTACAAAACGTCACCTCCCCGTCACCAGATGTACACGCCAAGGGCAGCGTTCTCATCCTCTTCTCCCCGTAGTGAAATCATGTGCGAGAGAGAAAAGTGGGAAGGAGGAGCGCTGGAAAGGTGAAGAGAGGTATCCAATGAAAACGCTGCCCTTGGCATGTGCATGTGGTGACATTATGTATGCATTTTCGGCACGCACGTTTGGAAGCCTTAAATTAAAACAAGTCTAGGGCTGTAAATAATCTAAAAAAAAAAGTTTTTGTGGAAAATTTATTTTATGGTACTTGTAATTTTTTCAAGTTGTTAAAATAATTTTTTTTTCATGCTTGTTGGTTGCTAAAACTCGTCACCTGAAACTGGTATGTGTCCTGCTTGACTCAAAGCGAGCGTCCAGAGGAGGAAGGCGTTTCAAGAGCAGAGCATTCTCAAGGTGCCCCCAAACAGGGAAGAGAGGATGCTGCTCCACAAGCTCTTCCAGGAGAACTTTGACCCAGAGTAAGTGCTTGCAACTTGCCCCCCTTGGTGACATTCGAGTATTTCTAAGTCAGGAGGTCAAGCGTCTTGCCCGTGGAACCACAGTAGGAAGAGGTGGGATTCGACATGCCTGAGGAGCACATTATGCATTACGAACACCGAGAGTGTAGATGTTAAGGTTTTCTGTCCAACCAAGACATTTGATTTTCAAAGAGCTCAGTGCAAAAGAATGAAGGTGATGCTGGGTAGGTGACTACTGCAATGCAACACTATGTTTCCTGGTGTTTTAACGAAAGACAGTAAACTCTATCCCAGAAAATAAAGTTGGGTGAACTGTACCTATGAATCAGTTTCTGAAAAGGCCTTTAAATTAGGGTTTTTATGGTTATTATAACAACATTACAGAGCATAATGCTGGTACCCTAGTCACACAAAGGTTGGAACCCCCAAAACTTTCCCCCCGGCCATGATCCTTTTAGGAAGCTTATGTGCTACAGAACAAAATGAAACAAGAAAACGTGGAGTAGCCAGCACTCCACACAGTGCCAAAATCTCTGAAAAGAGCTCAGATTTATTAAGGAAGGCCGAATAACTTTGCAATCTCATGTGCACCCTCATGCTTTTGTATCTAGTCAACAATAACATTTTTTAAGCTCTGACAATTTGTGTCTCACCGAAAACCAAGCTTGCTTGTGCAAAGGCATCACTTCTGGAATTTGATAGAAACATATGCTTTGAAGGTTGAGCACGTTAGCTCGTTGTCATTGTGGTTACTTCTCACCGGTAAAGGTGCAGTCCTGTTATCGCCACGAAGTTTCATTTGGTTTGTCCGATTATACATAGCGAGTGCATTGGATGCAGGACTTACATCCTGAAGTCCGACGAGTGTCCTCATGGCGCCATCTGGATGCATGACGCCAAGCTGACCAACGTCATCATCTGCCAACCAGAGGTGTGGTTCATAGGGGGTTGGAACCTAATGTTTGCAATTTCTTTCAGTTTTCTTGGGTTAGTTTCTGAATGCAGTTCAAAGGCTATGTATGGCTGGGAGGTCCACCCTGAGCTCTTGCATTCCTGAAATCTCTTGCGGCATGGAAATGTCCTGTTCGAAGTTCGACGGGACGTTATCATCTGGGATATATTAATTTAAAAGGTTTAAGAAGCAAGAACAAAACAAGGACCAAGAAGACGCGAAGACAACAGGACAGGCGCTAACTCTCAACCCTACTTGGGTAAATTACTTTCAAAATGTAATTTAATTACAATTACTTTGCTTCAAAAGTATAACTAAAATTACAATTACTACTACATAAAAAGTAATTAATTACAGTTACAAATTGCCTTTAAAAAGTAATACATCTATTTTACAATTGCTTATTTCTGAGAGTGACCCGACTTGGGCCATGTAACTTTAAACAAGTTGTTTGGAATGCAATGCATTTGTTCATTCCTTGCCCCAACGTTTGAGGAAACCTAAGCATTGCTGTATAAATGTCCCGTATTGTACTTACTTCTGTGAATTTTGTTAAATTAATGGTAGAACTTGACAGTTTGGGGTAATGAAGTCATGCGTTTTTATATCTTCAATAAATAATAATAAATTAGCTCATACACTCGAGGACGGCAAATCGCTAAAGTAAAATTGGGTTGACACACTTTTGTTAGCCAGGCAAATAAAAATGAGACAATTAGTCATATCTGAATATCTTAATAGTGTTAATATATAACTACAATCCACATGTGCTAAAACGACCACATTCACATACAAACGTTTCATGTTATCGTAAATGATTTACATTGAGTTGAAATTAGAATGGCTCGGAAATATATAAGAACCCAATCGGGGCACCTGAATCATTGGGGACAATATTCACAAGTGTCAGGTCAGTCTCCAAAATGCTTATGCAAATAATATCCAAAGTAAAAACAACAGGAAATGAACTTGAAAATAATACAATATGTAAAGAAACAAATATGCAACAGTACTGGAAAAGGGAAATAAGGAAGTGTAAAAAAAAAAAAATAACTTCATAAACAATTCAAATCCCCAACCTCGGCTGAAAGCTGAAGCTCAATTTTGTTTCTTTCAATATTTTGGCATGTTTACGCTATTGTTTTTTGTTCGCACTGCAGACGGTGCCACACGGCACCGTTAAGGTAGGCTCCAAAAAGGGTTGTTTCTGAGCCCGCAGTGTAAGCAACGAAACAACAAACAATGTGACACTATTTTCGTTGGCCGTCCGTGTGAGTGCGTGTCTATGTGTGCAACTGTCACCGAATGCTAGGCCGCTTGTGCGAGCGCTGAGGCTTTCAGAGAGGTTCCCTTGGCAGCGCAGTCTTGCAAAAGTAATTGCAATTGTGCCTGAAATCTTTCAGTTACTGATGCTAGGAAGCAATTAAATTACAATTTCTTTTAGCCAAAAGTAATTAATTACAATTAAAAAGAAAGTAATTAAACTACAGTAATTAAATTATTGTAATTGAACTACTACCCAAGTATGCTCTCAACAAATTTTATTAGAGGTCATCATCACATCATCACATACACACTAATCTGCCTGTCCCAATTGCCACTCCTACAAACGGCCATCTAGCAAAAGCAAATTGTTGTGTGTATGTTTATACAGCCGGAAGTTAGTCTGCCTCAGTGGGCATCTGGTGTCTCAGGTGTAGATGAGCAATTTAGCCACTGCGGTACAACCGCTAGCCTGGGGTCTTTAACGTGCACCACGCAGTAGTGATACACGACCGCACGCCGGTACGATGCTCATCCAGATCGAAACGGGCAGGGGTGGGGCTCGAACCCAGGATTCCTGGGTTCTGCAGCGCGAGCTTTCGCCCCACGCGCGTCGAGCTGGGTGTGCGCTTTAGCCCACTCGGCCACCGATCCCCCATCCATCCAGAAACGTTGCTTCTTTTTTAAGTAAATAGAGAGATATAGATATAAAACAAATAAATGACCTCTCTCTCCAACAGATGTGCAACCAGACAAAGGAAAATAAAAGACAAGTATGCGTAAGTCCGTACTGGCACAAAGTATCGCATAATATTAAAAAAGATGGCCGGTACATATGATGTTAACATTGTTTTCTCGACCCCTTGAAAACTTTAAAACAAGGCAGAAAAATGTGCTTTGTTCTAAGAAACGCGCTGTGCAGTATACTAAATGTGTCACGAATGTCGTATACGAGATACCACTTAGCTGCGGAAAAGTTTACATAAGGCAAACTGGGCACTGCTTTAATGGTAGAGCAAGAGAACGTAATCTTTTTGTGTGCAACAATGCGGAAAGGGGGGGGGGGGGGGGGGCATTTTGTTGACCACTGTAGGCAATGTGGTTGTAAGCCTGGGTTGGAATCAATGAAGTTAAAAAAAAAAAAAGGAAAAGGTAAAATTAAGAGACAGATTATTGAGGCGTTCTTTATGAAAAAGACTGGTGACAACTGTGTCAGTGCACCATCTCTTTATTTACTTCAAAAAGAAGTGACGTTTCTGGATGGCTATTTGTAGGGGTGGTGATTGATTGTGTTGCAAGTTAAGCAGAGGAGCGTGTGTAAATAAGTGATGACGACTTCTAATGAAAGCAGTTGACAGTTAGCATCTGTCCGGTTGTCTTAGTGTCTTCTTTTCCCTCATTTTGTTCATGCTTTTCAAACCTCTTAATTAATGTGGACCAACTAGCCAAAACCCAAGCTTTAATGGGATATATGTTATCAGTCTCGCAATGACATCCATTGTTCAGAAGTGTTGCTAAGGAAACCTAATATATCACTGAGGAATTCTAGTGTGCCTAGGTGAGACAGAATATTGTGGAAGAATTCTGCCCTTAGTCTCTAATACTACTGTCATTTAGAAATTTAAAATACATTTAGGCAAATGACACCCGAGCATGTCGGCTCCCAATTTTAGCTCCGAGCATTCTGTGAAACTGGGGGATGGGTGCTGCTTAGGTCAACAATATGTAAAGGTACGTCCATGTATTTTCTCAATGTTACAAAATGGAGGGGTGGGCACATATAGTGGAATGGGCGGTTGCTGGCTATTTTACGGTAGCATTCCTGCGTGGCTGGAGGTATCGACTTCCTAGTTCTTAGAAATCTAGTCTTGAAGGTAACAGACTGCAGTCTCTTTCTGGACTAGCTAGTGGAGCTGCCATGGACAGCTGTTTTTCACTCTCCATCTGTGTGGGAAACGAGCAGTTACTAGTTATTGTATTCTAGTTAAATTTTTATTTTAATCATTACAATGGTTCCAGGTCAGTGAAGGGCAAATCGGCATAGGATCGGGTGGGGGTGGCTCTGTTGACCATAGTTCCCTTTCAGCTTTATTTGTCAAAATACCATCGTTCATTTCAGTTTCATTTCCCAAGCACTAATCATGGACAAGGACATGCTTATACTATACTCCTACAGTATTTAGTTTACAGGTTTTTTTTAGCTTTGCTTGTGTTCAGCTTTTTGAGGGATTGCTTTTGTTTCCTTTTGGCAATGCTACATTCAGTGTTGTTCTCAGATTCTGTGACCATTAACTGGAGGTGGGATTGAATGTGAAGCCGCTTTACATACACCTTCGAGATTGGAACAGATGTGAGTGCATTGTGGACCGGTGCTTTTACACTTGGCAGTTTGAGAACCTGTACAACAAGGTGTTTGGAGGGTTTCTGATGCGGAGTGCTTATGAGCTGGCCTGGAGTACTGCCTACCTGTTGAGGTGAGTGGGATGGGGAGACCACTGAATGAGTGACGCTGCAAAACACTGAACAAGTGCTCTCACTTTTTTGTTGTTGTTGTAAATTCCTCAACTAATTACGGGAGTACTATACGATCGGAAAAAAAATGGCTTCCCGATTCTATGCGAGTGCATGCTTGGTGTTTTCTGCCCTATTAGTTTTACGTGGTTGATGGGAAGATATGGAAAATTCAATTTCGGAAAAAAAGATGCCAAAAAAAAAAAAAAAAAAAAAGAAATAAGCATTTTATAATTACAAAAACTGAGAACGCTTGGAAGGGGACAGACACAACCTGTGTGTTTGGTTAATAATGAGCTAGCTTCTTTTTTCTTTTTTATCATTACAGATGGCAATACAATTTTGTGTTCCTGCTGAAATTATTACTAGCAACACCATAGTCGATACAAGATAAATCACGTTTGCAGTGGTAATTTATTTCGATGAATTTTCTCTTTTATTGACTGGTGGGTGAGACATGGTTATGTTATCAGCTATATTTACAATGTGCTTCAGCAGAAACCAGTGAAGTGAAAAATTAAGTGTATTTCCAAAAATTCAAACAGACCACCAATTTTGCATGCTCACTCGCTTTCACAATTAAAGTCTTCAAACAGACCACCAGTTTTGCATGCTCACTCTCTTTCACAGTTAAAGTCAAATTTTAATTTAAATCAGAAAAAAAAAAAAAATGGCACTTACTGTTTTGTTTTTTTGAACTTACACTTTCTGCTAGTTTGCCTTGCTGAGCAATTACTTTGAGAACATAGTAGCACTTTTGGACATGGATGAGAAGGGAGAACAGGACAACACAATGCACTAAGTATAACTGTTTATTAATAAACAGTTGAAGTTAGTGCATTGTGTTGTCCTCTTCTCCCCCCTCATCTGTATCCAAAAGCACTACCATTTCTCAAAGTTTCAGCCCCAAGTGGCCCAACCAGCAGCATTAAGCAATTACCGTTCAGCTTGATTCAAAACTCTTTAGTTCAATATTTTTGGCAGCAACCATCCAAAGGCAAATTATAGCGGACACAAAATGCTCGTAGCACGTAGATTCCAATATTTAGGCAGGCACAGTAGAACGTGCCCTGCCTTTGGCATGCCAGGCGACGTCGCCGTTTTCTTTGCGCAGCGGAAGACGTCCCAGACCCTATCACACCGACGACATCTGGTTCAGGAAGCCCGTTGAAGTAGGATCCTTGCTGCACTACGAGGCACAGGTGAACGTTCCTAACATGCAATGTCGTGCAGGCAGTCGACTAAAGACCTACTATAGTCCCACGGCGGGGAGGCCCTTCGGTTGTCCCGCCCCCGGCGCAAACTTTCTACCTTCGACCATGCTTTGACGCCTCACGAACTTCGAGCATGCACACACAGCCACAGCACGGCAACGGGCCCGTGCTATAGGCTGGGCATTCAAAGAAAGCCGACTCTGCTCACTCCATGGGACCAGCTAATGCTGTCGTATTTAAAGATTCCCTGCCTGGAACCCACAATTGTCTACTGTAACCCACAATTGTCTAAACAAGTGCTGCCACTCGCCAAAATTGCGGTTCGAGTGTATTTTTTTTCCTTATCTGCACTGTTTGAAAGGAGAGGAAAGGATGCTTCTTTGTAGGAACTTGGATGCCGAATATAACCGACAATGGCGGCTAAAGCGGCGTTTGACGAGCCCTATTAACGTCACCACAGCTCAATGGAGCCAACAGGACCTAGCTTCTTTGCCCGGGGTTCGATACTGCATGCCTTGTACCAAATACTTTCGGACTGGTTATTCTGAACATGGCGGATTAGAATGGTGCCCACTTGCAACCTATCATGAAGTTGATAGAAGGGAACTTGGAAGTTCTTGATCCGAGAAACCCGTTTTTCCCCTCGACTTTCCTCAATCGGAAGCTTACAAGCATAATGTGCATATTAGGAAAAATATAGCGAGTTGAAGTTTATATTTGGGTAGTGGTTATAATATTTTCTGATTTTACAGTTTCCTGCCTCAGTGACAGGCATGGCTGGAGCTGGACGATAATGAAAAGCTCACAAAGTAACATGCACATGGTTAATACAAATATTTCATAGTACCAGCTTCATTGTTAGCATAAAATATGATGGGACTGCCTGCAGCGACCATCTCTTCTCTCCGTCTTCTTCCCAGGTTGTGTACACGAGGGAGAACTTCATGCAGCTGAACGTCAATGCGACGGTGATCAACCCAAACACTGGCAGGAAGGAAATCACCAATGTGTTCCACTTCACCTTCCAGCTCGATGGCGAGGGTCCTGCGCCCAGAGTGACTCCAAAATCTTACCCGGGTGAGGTTTTCACTGCAGTCCTGGCCATGGCATATTTGTTTTAGGGTCAAACAACCATAGTTTGTTAAAAGGATTACCGAACCCTAAAGAAGTGCCTCCATAGGACACTTGTGTCACAAAATGAATGTCCCCTGAAAATGATAAAAAAAATCAGCATGTTAATTTATTTAGACAGTCGAAGGAACATTTCAGACATTTCTGAACAACTCTGATTTCGTTGTTCAGGCTTAGGCAGTATAGTCCAGGTTTGGACACTGAACTTGCAGACTTGGTGTAGTCCAGGCCTGACTCGTTGAAAAGAAAACGACAATAATTTACGTTGAGCCATTCTTGTTTACATGGCATGAGCGATCATAAACATGTGCGTATATGTAGCGAATTTCATGCCACACCAGGGTTTGCATAGCTTCAAAAGGTGCAATTTCCGACGTGTACAAGCATGTTAAAAAGCCACATAGGCACTTCTGTTGCACGAACATGTGCTGTACGCGTGGATTGTTAGATCAACCGATGGCACTGTAGGTGCTTCATATTTCAAGATGAAACTTGAAATGAGGCTTATACGTAGTTATGTATAACACGTTTCAATCTCGTGTTTCAGAGAGCTTGCTTTACATCGAAGGGCGACGGTATCTTGAAATGGCCATGGCCATCCCGGAAAAGATTGATCCCAGCACCATCCCCGATTCCAGGCCAACATAACCACTCAGAACACCACTGTCTCTGAGGGAATCTCAAGTATAAGTGTTGTGACCATTTACAGAGAGGTTGAAGATGTGATAACACACTCTAACCAAAGCACTGCTCTGCTGACAAAGCTTGTAATTCTGAAGATCAAAGCTGTACACAAGTCTGCCTCAAAAGTCGTATTGAGGCTGACATACTATTTGTAACTATAGTATTGCACACTGCACCAATCATTATTTATGACCTGGTTGTACCAGGCAAACAGCTCGACAACTCTCGGATGCCAGAAACACACCTTCGGAAAGTTAGGATCTCAACTCTGTTTAACCCTTATTTCTTTTATAGTCTGGTGGCATTGCTTACTTTACACCAGTTAACTTGCACCCTAACCTTGTATAAGGTTACAAAAAACAAGTGAAGAAATCGAGTTATGTCGTTATGAATAATTTACAAGTTTCCGTAGTGAAGCGGACAATATGTTGTGTTAAACGTCTGCCTCTCTGTTCTGCTGCGACAATTCGGCTGCAAGTAGGGTATATACTTTTCGGTGTTTATTTATGACAAAAATCGGCGGCTGTTGTGGTGTAATCAGTGTTTATTCACCAATACCGATGGTTTTCGGTGCATTCTATCATGCACACACTAAAAACTGTGATTATCGGGGGAAAAAGAGTTGCGAATGTAAACTACCTCTGAAGAAGAAAGTGACCAAATTTTATTTATATCTTTTAGAAAATCTCTTTCACGCTTGATTATTGTAGTATATGAATGCATACATTCCTGGGCTCGTGTCTGCCACTTACACTCGCTCCCTCCTGTTAACGACGTGCAATTTCAAGAACGCCCGCTCAACATTTGCGCTGGACACGGGAAGCCCCAAAACGTCCAACGAGGTTTGGGACGGTACTGCAGGCAGCTAAGAGTGGCCTCTCCGGCCACTGATAGTGATCTAGCTCAGCGGCCCAGGAGGCCCACTGATTTTGGAGAACAGTGGAACAAAGCTACTGTCCTCCAAGACCCTGTAGGTCACAAAAGAAAGACAGTCAAAGTGCATGATTCCGGGTAAGATAATGTTTGACAGAAGTTTGCTTTCTATTAAAAAACACGTTGCTAGAAAAAAAAAGAAAAAAAAAATTAGAAACCAGTGTTTTTTTTTTAACAATTTTTATCTCTGTCACCACAAATGTTTATTGATGTTTGGTTAAAACTGGAAAGTATGCAGGACTTTTTGGTGAAAAAAACCAGCGCTTGCTCAAAAATATGAAAAAAAAAAAAAACTTTTTCAGTTTTAGCAGATTTTGTATATCCAACACCGGCGGATGTTTATCGGTTAAAACCGGAAAGTATACAGCCTAGGAAATTTCTTGAGTTTGCAAGTAGTGAATGTTTATATGAAGTACAGAGACTTTAAAGTATTTGTGAAAAATATGCATGTACGGATCTGTGTTGTTGGGTGCTCTTTATACACTCCCAGGAACAAGGGTTTGCATCTGCTCATTACCGACACTGAGGTGTGCCGATTTGCATATAGAAGGTTGTTTACGAGGTAAATAATCATCTGCAGAAAGCATCAACTGGTTTCTTCGTATGCAAGTAAGATGGGCTTTACTGCAAGCTGTTCTGAGATGAAATGCGCTTGCACCTCTTCCCTCTTATTTCAAACATGGTATATGCGAGCCCTTTTGTTAGAACATTACTGAAAATAATGCAAGCAAAATGTGCTTGGCATGGGGCATAGCACTCTTTTGTGTCTGGAGGGAGAGTTTGTCAACTGTTTGCCAGGTGAAATCAGGCCACACCAAACATGTTTTGCTACATTGCTGTTTTATAATATATGCTGTTATTGTTGGTTTGGGTGTCTTTCCTCTTCTTACACAGACAAAGCACACTATTCAGTTCACAGGGGTGGGGGAAGAAAAAAATCTTTACTACATTAATTTATGTACATCACAAAGCTATTTACACAAACCAAATGTTTGAAAAACAAGGCACAGATAAAGAAAAAAAAAAAAAAAACATTCAAGAGGAGCAGACGACCAACTAGGTTCCCAAATGGCGCACCCCTCTTCGCGACGCAAGACAGTTCCGCGCAAGCCCACCGAAACTCCCGCAGAGAATGTCTCCCCTCCACTGCAAGTTGCGAAACTAGGGCGGGAAACAGAAAAAAGGGGGAAAGCATTGGGAAAGGGAATGCGAGGGCGGTGGTAGTAGCAGCAGTAATTCCAGGTGTCTGTACAATGGGTGGAGGCTATTACGGCGAAGAAATGTACACGCGGCAACTTCTCTCGCACCTCAAGTTCGGTTTTGAAACCAGATGTTCCGAACCTCTGCATTTGAAACTTCTTCCGTATTCACATAAGGGAGGTGTGCACTCGTCGGCAGCAGCGAGAAACCTCGTTGGGAAAAGGTACCCTCCTCGTCAGCACTGAACCAAAAATGGTGGAGGGGGAGGCTCACTCCACCACATTCCCTGGTCACTTCGACATCAAGTGACTCCAGACAAACCTCCAGAGGAAGGAAAACAAAAAGCGAAGCTCTAACGTGTCATCTTTTTTTCCCCCCCTTTGGCAGTGTTCCACCAATCAGGAAGAGCCAGTTCCTGCTAAATAAAAAATAAATATGTGAACTTCCCCACGCAATGGAGTGTGCGTTAGCAAAACAAGGAGTATGGGCTAGGGCGGGCGCAGAGTATAACGAAAACTCGCACACATGCACACAAAACCCGTCCAACGCATACATATATAAAAAAAATACACTCATTCCGTGTTTCTTTTAATCATTCTTGCAGGCGCCTCTAAAAAGAAAAAAAAAGCAGGAGAAAAAAAGAATGCAGTGCGTTGGGACGTCCATTCGTGGCCGCGGTCGTTCCTCTCTTCCGAGAGAAATAAGAAAAGGAAAAAAAAACTGGCGTCTGCGGAAGGGGGGAGGAACCGACGATCCCCAAAGGGTGTGCGCTTATGTCAGTCTCTTCCGCGTGGCCGCCCGTGGAATTTGTCGGGGCACGGCGGAGGTGTCCTCTGGCGTGGCACGCGGGGGGCAAGGGGAGACCGACCCCAAACCTAAACAGCACGGGAGTGAGCACAGGCAGTTCCAGTCCGTCGAGAGAAAGGAGGGGAAGAAAAAAAATGAAACGGAGAAAACGTCTTTGGTCCAGTCGTGCCAAGGCAAGAAAGGATGCCTTCCCCGGCGCACTTTGTGACAGACGGGAGCAGCTTTGTCGCAAGCTTCGTCGGGGACCTTTCACTGCACGCTGGTCTTCCTTGTCCGCCCTTGGTTTCGACGGCGGAGGGCAGCGTCGGAAACGCCCGGGCCGACCTCTCTCTTTCCGAGCCCGTTCAGGCCACGTAGGTGTACACCTTCCTGCAATGCAGACAAACATTGCCACACTTCCCCTCGCTCTATGACACGCTACTACGGCCCCTGAGCTATGAATTGTTAAATCCATTTACAAACCACGCAGCGCATTGTTTTGACGTGCCCCATTGATGATTGGTTTCCAAACGGCTTGTACCATATTTTCCGGGCTACAGTCCATATAAAAGTTGAAATTTCACCCGATGCAAACTATTTACAAGTGCGAACTATATAGTAAAATTCGAATTATGGCTTGCATCGAACCCTTTCCGAACTTCCTTAAAAATGAATGCAATTTTTACTTTATACCTAGTAATATCAAATGCGATCGTACCCCCAATGGATATAGCAACAAGACAATGAGCATAGACAGCTTCGTTGGCGAAGATGACAACCGGACTACGGCGGAGCTGACGGATATTGAAATGGCCGCCAACGTTGCCCGCGAGCGGCCTGTTGTGAGCTAAGAGCCTGGTCCTGCGGCCATCGAAGACATTGCACCACGCCCCGCCTTGGGCATGCCCTACCCTGTGCGTCTCGCGTCTGGCCCTGTAGGCTGTAGTTCCGCCTGCCCCGTACTGCACGTACCATTCCTTCCTGCTCGCACTGCCGTCGGCTCCAGTCACGAAAGCTGTTTTGACTGATTTTCGCACTATTTGAAGCGTTTTGTTTAGCATTTATGCCTCGAGTTTTGGTAGCCGGCAATTCGATAGGCGAAGCCGTGGCTGCCGTTGCTGTGCTATGCTCCTATTGCAGTACAATAGAAGGAAGTGGACTTGCACTTGTGGATTGTCTCGACACCGTGGAGCAGGCCGTGACAAAACATGCTAGTATTAACTCTAAAAAGCAGACTACGTTGGCGGAGTACTTTTCAGCGCAATAAATCGACATAGTGGTCTCAAGTAAGTGTCCTAATCAATTAAGAAAGCATGCAGCGATGAATTGCAAGTAAGCTCGTTACTGTGCCAATCATGTGGCGCTTAACTCTGTTTCTCACCTTATTTTATACATAGAATTTTGGCTATATCAAACTGTTTTGCGATCTCCGCGCAGTTCGATATAAGCGGTATTGACTTACAAGAACGTTTTTTTCCCAAGATCCTTCATTCTAACAAGACTTGAAGGATTTTATGAATAACGGACTATATTAATGTTTATTTATGTATGATACAAGCTTTGCGAGCTAACACAGCAGGCATTTGTCATGGTCTGCTGTGTATGATACTTTTTACGTTCAGACTATCTAAACAGACATAGTCTTGACCCCAAATTTGCCCTCGCAGACTATGCATCTGGTGCGAACTATAGTCCAGAAAATATGGTCACTGGACTTGGCGGTTCTTTGCTTCAGAACCGGCAGGGGGGCTACTCCTGTGCCCGTCTTAATTTCTTGAAATCCAGGGAAGGAAAAAAAAAAAAAAGGTAAGAGGGCTGGTTTTTAAGCCTTGCAGCATTAGTGCCCGACTGACTCTGATACACCAAACAGACACACAGACTCCGCTCCCAGAGAGATCCCGGGGGGGGGGAAGGGGGGGGGGGGGTCACTTGCCTGTCTTCGGGAGTCCTGGCTAAGTACTCCCGCTCTATAAGGCCCTCAATCCTTTTCTTGATCACCACGGGGCTCGGGTAGAACCTCGACTTGAGCTGCTCGGTCACCTAAAGCGAACAAACGGGTGCCGTGAGATGCCGACGGATCCACCGGAAGCCGGGTCGAAGCTGCGACGCTCCAGATTAACCCACCTCCGCCACCAGAACGTTGTGCTGCATCCTCTTGCGTGCCTTCATTATCCTCACAATGGCCGCTTCGATCGTGGAGACGTAGCTGAGGAAATTCTTTCCCGCAATCGATGGCCTCGAATGATTAACGGTGCTCCTGAACATGCATCCACCGGACTGCTAGACATTTGTTCCCGTAGACAGGCAATGCAAAAGCACTTTGACCCTTCGTGTGCGTGCAAACAAATATGCAGACAAGGTGAGTTAATACAATGCAAGGATATTCGTGCTTCCTGTCCTCGTCAACCTTGCTTCTCGTCTCGTTCCTCTCGGGTTCAGATTCTCCCTTGGCTGCAACTGTACGACAAAAAAAAAAAAAAAAAAAATCCAGTGGATTAGGAATTTTAATTTGCATGCACCAACAAAGATCACCAAAGTAAAACAAATAAAAAATATCCACTCACCTGACTGAATTTTGACTCTGTACAATTTCGAGGTGAAGGAGTCGTTCACGGTAAACGTGTGACTCGGTTCTGAAAGCAAGACAAAGAAGGATGGGAGACGAGGGAGTTTTTAAGGGGCACCACAATCGCTAAAGCCAAACCACACGAGCAAATGCAAAAAATTGTACGTAAAAGGAGAAATCGCCTCTTCCACATAGAAGTTTAACGATGCAAATAAAGCTAGAAAAATGCCCAATCAAGCCCTGTGGTTTGAAACTTGCAAATTTGAGAAGAATAAGCTCTGCCAAACAGTACCCGATTTACTAGACCATTTGTAATGTGTGCACTAAGATTTGGAGAACACTAGATGCAATGCTCAACGTCTGTGTTCCAGACACTATCCCTTCCTCGTCCTTCACTAAGCTTCTTCCACCGGTTCACACAGATGGACCTCTGTGGCAGGGGTAGCTTTAATAAACAGTTCCCTACTAGTGAGCACTGCACTCCCAACCTACCTCGGCTACATATAGTCTAAGCTCGTTATAACAGACCTTGATTTTGACCAAGATTTCGGTCTGTTGTAAAAGGAGCATTTTGTATGCAGATATGAAGTTGAGTCAATGGTGCATAGATGAAAACCAACCAAACTTCACAAATCGGTATGTTATATCCAAATGTCTCTTGTAACCAGGTCTGTTATAATGAGCTTAGACTGTAGTACAAGTTTTAGTAAATAATATGTCCGTGCAATGTACAGTGATGTAGCATGTGAGTTGGCTTGCGGACTACGCAGCACGTCGAGATGTCCTTTCATAGGGCATGGAGCAGAAATTATTGTGGTATGTCGCACTAAAACTTTTCCATAGGGCTCCAAATAAAGTTCTTCGGTAAATGTGTTCAACCTCGGACCGTAACTCCCATAAGAGAATTTCCTCTTTTGCAAGTCCTCTCTCTCTCTCTTCTTCGGTTAATGTGGAGCTGGGAAAAATCAAGCCGAGTACAACCTGCACTGCTGCTTTTATGAATTTAAACAAGGCAGTCCCATCTGGTGAGAAGCACATGAAATGAAACCAAAACACGCCGAAACGCCGACGACTCCAACACTTGCAACACTACATGACTGAGAGGTAACCACATTATTCTCCCCTCCCTGTTCCACCAACAAGCAAACACACACCTAAAATCTATTGCCTCCACCCCTTTTTCCCAAAATCTGCAAGTCCACCGAAGAATATCTTTACACAAGTAGAGAAGCTTGTGCTTATCCGTACGCTCACTGAAAAGTGGCGCAGCCTGGCGTCCCGAGTGTGAAACGGGGGCAAGGGCTTTGGAAAGTATTCCACCGTGGTTGCAAATGTCGTGACCTCTCTCCACGGCCAAGAGAGAAAAAGGGCTCACCAATGTCCTTAGTCTTGGGGCTCTTGATGAGGATGCGCTGTGTGGGCTTGCCCATGGCGAGGGACTGCAGCGCTCGCACCAGGTCCTTCTCCGGGATGTCCGTCTCGGAGGCCACCTCCTCGTACATCAGCCGGTCGCGGTTGTTGAACAGCATCAGCACGCACATCTGATACGTCGAGACCTGGGGGAGAGCAACGAATTTTCCAGGATGCCACGTCGTCACTCGTCCAAAGGCTACCGGTTCATTGAACGAGCGGCCGACACAATGCAACGACTCTTGGTGATACGTCAGACATCATTCTGAGGCTCTCCGAGAAATACCCTGTATGTAACGCATTGCATACAAAAATATGCGTCGGGTCTTTTGCTACGTTCAGATACTTGGTGCAGTACCAGGTGCGCCACTTATCTGAAGCTGGCACATTTTGTTAGCAAATTCTCGGCACATATTGGACACTAACACTGCCTCTGTGTTCAACGTGCACCAGAGACAAATTTAAGATGGGAGCGTGTAACATCCGTTTGCGATGTCAGATCCTCCCAGTCAAATGCCCCCACAAGCCTGGCCTATAAATCTGTCCCTGGCTTGGAGTTGGGTCCAATTATGCACCTCACACAGAAAGCGATGCCAAAACATGGCGACCACCAACGTTGTTGGATAGGATTTTGTAAAGGGTCTATTGCAAGTCATCTGATCCTTTATGCAATGCATATTGGATTAGATACGTCGGTGACGTAGCCAGTGATGGAAGTGCCATTTAACCTTTTGGAGCAGGCCTTGTAGCAGGCAAAATGTTGTTTTGGAGCAGGTAGTGGCCCTTTTGGAGCAGGGTCCGGCATATGTTGGCATATTACTTGAAAATGAAATAATGCTGCACTGCTATATAAAGCCCATCTCTATTGTTCGAACACAGCGCCTGTCGCCTTTTTAAGACAGGATATATAAAATCCAACAAAGTAAACATGCAAAAAATCATTTTTTAAAATAAAGTTTATCCACTCGTCAGATAAAAAAATACAATTAAATATGTCACACTGAGTTCTAATGGTACAGGATACCAAGTTTTATCAGCCTGCACTTCTTTTAAGGTATCTGCAGCAGCATATAACGACCCTCACTGTTGTGGAATGTTTTAGTTCAGATTAGAGTTGTCTTTCGGGCAGCAGCTTCAAATGTTGCGGTATCTGATATTCGCTTCAAAATTCCGATTCATTTTCGATGTGCTGGCGAAGTCACGATTGGATCACGGCGAGCTAACCCGTTGAGTGCGCTCCTTGGCATGCACCGACGCGCTGCAGAGAAGCGACACCCGCGGAGCAGACACTGCAGTCGCGCGAGTCGCACAGTGCTTTGTGCTCCGAAAAGGACGGTGAGGCTTTACCAGCACTACACCCAGAGTTTCGTGCAACTCAACTATACTTCGTTTCAGCTTCGGTGCGAGCGCAGCCAAAGCTACAAGCGCGCGCATGGAGCTTGTAACGGTACCCACACTGCACGAGCCCACGCGCGAGTCAGGAATGCACAGAGCATTGGGCTCGCGCTAGCTTTGACTTCGCTGATAGCTAGCGCACCAGAACAGGGCGGGCCAACATTGAAAACATCCAGAAACTCGGCCTTTTTTATTTTTTTTTAAATAGGCTGCTCAGTGGGATGGTTCTTCGCTTAGCCTCTGTGGCTTAATTTGGTCTCAGATGTTGCTAACGTTGTTCCTTTCAATGATGATGATGATGCGCTTTCGCAGTTTCGGTTTGCGTAACAGTTGCGGCGCGGAAAATACCGCGGTACCGCCACGCGCTCTGATAAGACTTCAATTCTAATTTTTCATTGCTACATCTCATCTCGGCGCAAGCATGGCGCAATTTTTCGGTAAAATGACAATTTGGCACTACATGTAGCAGGATTTAGTCCTTGGCGCAATTTGGCGCAATTGGCGCAGCACTTCCATCACGGCGTAGCAAGAAATAGGTGTGCTCCTTTCATTTGTCACTGTGCTCTTATTGTATTCTGCTCCACGCCCTAGACAAAAAATGTGTCAGATTAATGCAGAGCAAGATTTGCCAAACATCAATATACAAACATTGTCGCAACAACATGCACGCTAATCTGCGGACATAACCGCAGTAAATATGGCAAGCAGACCTTGCCCAGCCAGCGTGAAGAAGAAAACGTGACATGCTTGACCATGGCAGCTCTCTATCCTCCACCGTTACCTTTTCTGGGTACCTGACGGATGTGCAAAACCGTGTTTGTCTCACCTGTGTGCTGCGTTTCCTCTACGATATGTCGAGTGTATGATGCATTACCTGTATTACACGTCACTGGTATAATGTATCCCTCCTATGATCTGCGACTTGTACGATGCATCAACTGTACAATGTGTTGCCAGTACAATGCGTTGCCTGTACAATGTGAAGCCCGTACGATGTGCCGCCTGCATGATGTGCCACCCGCAGATTAGTGGCCTGCATTATGCATCAACTCTACAGTGCGCCACCTCCATGAGCCCCCTGTACGACACGTCCCCCGCACGGTGCGTCACCTGTATGATGTGCTTGCGTGGTGCTGGGGGCGCGCGTGGCGACAGCAGGGCAGTGCTGGAGGACGAGGCCTCGCTGCTGCTCTCCTCCTTCCGGGGCCCGTAGAACACCGCATTCAGGTCCGCCCACCCGAGCTGGGGCTGCAGGGTCAGCTGCCGACCACTGTGCTTCGCCAGGTAGAACCTGGAGGGCACGCCCGGTCTCTTAGTGCCAGCACGTCAAAACCTACCGAGACTGACGTTGCATCAACACACTCTACGCTATGTTCACGCCCAAGCTGACAAGACAGCGGAAGCTATGTGTGTGTCCGACCAGCTGCATGTCTATCTTGCGTCACGTGATCGTGCTCCTGCCCATTCCCATGTGCGGAGGAAGTGTGGGGTGGGGTAATGAAAAAGAGGAGGCCAACCGGTCCAGCAGGCACGTAGCTCCCACAGGATGTCTACCAACCTGGAAAACCTGGAATAGTCGGGGAATTTCAAAGCATCCTGGAAAGTTAAAATTGTGAGGGAATCTAAAAAAAAAAAAGATTGAGGTACACCTCAGCATTTCTTATGAGTTGTGAATTGAAAGCATGCAAGCCGCTCGTCCGCTCCCTTTTTCATCTCCTGCGTCCTTCTCGTTGCCAGTCAGTGCGTGTGCTCCCCTGGGCACGGTGACCTTGGATGCTCCGTGTTAAAGGCACACTGATGGACACACAGCGCCATGGGTTGAGCGGTTGTGGAAACTGACGAGCGCGGTGGCCAATGGGAGCACCGTCGAAGCACGCCAGCCAATAGGACCGAAGGAAACTAGGGGCCATTTACGCGCTTCAAACTGATGACGTCAGCTCGTTCCATGAGACCAGTCAATGCTTTCGCATTAAAAAGGTTAAGTCGGGGACGGTGCAGTGAGAAGTAGGTGGGCGTGGCATGAGCTAGGGCAGATGGCCTTCGCACCGAGTGACAGTTGCCCAAGGCATCACTGTGTGGCATGAGCCACCACTCGATTCAACAGATGAAACGGGAACAGCCTGAACAGTTGCCGCAACCCCATCCACTTCTTTTGTAACGGTCGGGGAACTTAACTGAAATATTTGAGGAAAACTCGAGAAGGTTAGGGAATATGAGAGGAGCCATTTGGTAGACTTCCTATGCCAGCCTAGAACTAGAAAGTTAGGCTTACAGTATCGGCACTCTATTTCCAAATATTCTTGTGGGTGCCACTCGGTGGCTACATTCAAGCACGAGTCTTGAGTGTTGTGGTGTTCAAAAAGGGGCCCCCCGACCGTTTTTTCAATTATTCCAGCTGCCAACATGGACGCCACTGCCGCTCCCAGAACAGGGAGCTGTGAAGCTCGGGAGGCTCGGGCTAGAGGGGTCACCATTTTGGTGTTTAGTGCAGAGCAAGTGCAAATGGCAATAGTTGCGATTCGAAAATGCAGATTCCTGAACTTCAGAAACACTATCAAAAAGATTGGTCTTGCTCGGTCGCAGACCATTTCAACATTTCCGGAGAAAGGAAAACTGTTTCCTGCAATTTTAGAAGATTCAGACAACTGGCAGCAATGATTTTATGAAGGCACAGAAAAAAAAATTGCATAAAAACTCGATCTTGAAAAAAATGCCATGTTATCCACCAACATCTATAGAATATTCCCAAAAAGTTTCATTAGCTTACACTGCAGTTATTTTTTTACAAATTATTTTCGGTCCACCGACACTAAAGAAACGGTAGTGGTTCAAGCACTTTTTGAACCTATTTTTCTCGGTTCCACATTTTGGCATAAATTTCACTTTAATAAAACCATTGGTTGCTAACAGGACGGAGAGGAAGCCTCATTCATCGTTTTTCCGATCTGGAATTTAATGGGCAGTGCAACTGTGGCATTGTATTTTTACTTTGTGGATGTCTTTTATAAAAGATATTAAGATTTTGTTAACGACATAAACGGCAAACAAATTACTTTTTTGAAAAGTTTTCACAGTTGCATTCTTCAGGCATTCTGCTGCATATGTGGTGAAAAAAAATGTTGGGTACTATTTTAGTTTTCTAACGATAGGTTTCCTAAACCATGTCAGTGTGTTCCTGATAAAAACATGACAAATTTATTTCACAATTTATGTACACAGATAAAACTTTGCACTGCATTTGTCTCGCAACTGCCAGTGTATACTGTAAATTTTATTCATATTAAGCCAGCGGTTCAAAAGTTGATCATTTTGGGTAGTGCCCTCCCTTAAAGACGGTTAGAGTGTCGTTACACTGAAGCTTAGCTTACTTGGAGGTTCTAGGCGCACCAAATGCATAGAGCGGCCTCCGAACTCAATGCCACTGCACAGTCGCATGGGCTAAGAAGTCACGTTGCGACCACCGGGCCGAGTTCCGACTCCCCAGTCTCTAAGCGGCCCGGGAAAGGCTGTGTTAGCTGATCAGACGACCGAGTGACGGCTAAATTGCGGGCAACCGATCGACGATTTACAAGTACGGTGGCACCGTTTGTTTGTTTCGTCTCTCAACGCTTCATAGCCAAACACAGGACATAATTGGTAAAAGGGAAATGCACACGCGCACTACTTTAAACGACGACCGACCATCCTGCATAAACGGCTCTTGAAGCCCATCATAGGTCTAGTTGCAATACCGCGTCGTAAGGTCGGACCTAGGCTCATTCCGGAAACAATAGACACTAAAAAGGCCCCAACTGGCAAGGAATGCAGCTGGCATCGCGCCCATACGCGGGGCATCGAGGCTCTCCTACCTGCGGAAAGCTTCGAAGGCGTTGCGGGGAGCCATGGGAATGTTGCTCTTGGGGGTCGAGGCCTGGGTCGGCCAGAACCCCGTTGTGAGCACCCGCACGTTCAGGTCCACTCCGTACAGGTTCGTCTGCGGGGAAGAGGCAAGAAATTTACCGTAACTGCAACGGAACTATTGCCATGGTGAGCCCAAGCAAGTGAATACAGGCAGAGCATTGTCGGTACAGAGCCCCTTTGATAAAGTACAGGTTTTCATAAGCTCATCAATAAACAAAAAAACATATCTGCAGAAGTGTGGGACATGACCTGTTGCTACTACCACCGCATTACTTAGAGACTACAAGGGTTCTGCGAGAGTTGAAAGATACATAAAAGCTTTCTCGGTCCCCGGTGCGAGTTCAGCTCGTAACACTCTTATAAAAAATAATACAAATAAGTAAATAGAAGTGAAATGCAAGAGCAGACTAGGCAAGCATATGCGAAGCTTTGGGAAATAAAATGAGCCCTCACGCTGCACATGAGCACGTGGGTCTTGAACTCGTCCATCATGGTGTTGGAGACAGACATGTCCTTGAACATGCCTTCCAATTTTGACGTGAACTGGCACCCACATTCCGTCTGCAGAGAGAAAAAAGAAGCACAAAGAAACGAGACTGTTATTCATATAGTTCGTAGATAGAGAAGTCATTCAGTTGCGAGATTTACTAAGGTAGCGGCAAGGCTGCTTTATCCAACTAATGTGTCATAACGGCTTCAATGACAAAGGAAGTTTATCCAATACAATGCATTGTGGAGGTTCTTTGGCTGGGTAGCTAGTACAGCAAGCATTGGAATGCACCACACTACTTGTCATGGCCTCATGGAAGGTGTGGTGAAATGCACAACATTTATTCATTTATTTAGATACTAAATAATTTCTGAGCCATACAATAGGAGTGGTATAAAAATAAAAAAGCTCCTTGAACATAGAAACAAACAGATGAGGTCATATACCTACACTAAATGTATTGTGATTAATACTATTGCACAATATATATGCAATGAAATGTCAAAAGTTCAAACACAGCGTGACATTACGCAAAGCCAGACAGACTACTGCAGATCATGGACATGAATTCATACCTTCATCGAGTGCTTCTTCTAAACAGCGGCAGGGAAACGGGCAATGTTAAAAGTACTTGTTTACTGCTTTCACAGTAATGCAGACTAAATCGATGATGAAAAAAACAAAAAAACATGGCGTTGAGAACTAAATCTATTCAAGAAAGCATTTCGGCTCCATGAGCTTCTCAATGATAAAAGCACATTCTCAAAATCCAAATAGGTTCAACCAGAAAGCAAAATGTGAAAACTGCACGATAGCAAAATCACAACACATGCAAATTTCTGTAAAATCAGCTAACTTTTTTTTTTGGAAGCACGCACTCACCTTGAGCTTGGAGATCATGTTCTTCTCCGAGTCGTCAGAGACACTCTTGTTGAGCAGCAGGCGCTTGGCCAGGTGCTGCTTGTAGTAGCGCTCAAAGAGGTCCTTTTCCTGGAGGTAGCGGAAGAGCACCATCGTCTTGTCCAGGACCTGCTCAATCTCTTGCTCCGTCATGCCCTTGACCCCCTTCTTGAGCTTGTCGTCCACAAAGAGGGACAGGTATTCGGGCGACTTGCGGTTCAGATTGAGGAAGTACTCAAAGTCCCCGGCGATCATCTGCTTGAACTGGCGCTCCCCGTTGAACGAGTGGTACAGGAAGTGGTCGAAGCGGTCCTTCAGGTCCAGCAGGTTCTGGACGAAGCTCAGGGCGTCCCCCTTGCCGCCATCCTCCTCTGTAACAAGGGCCTTGCCTTGCTCCCGCAGGTAGCTGCTCACACACTCCACCACCGTCTTGAGGCCCTCCTGGACCCGGTTGAACAGCCGGAACATGCGGGCCAGGTCCTCTGTCTTCTGGTTTTTCAGCATGTGCACCACGCCGGAGTTCTCCATCTGCGGCGAGAGAGCGTACCACTGCACCGGTCACCACCCTATCGAAAAGCATCTGTATGATTTGTCTAAGAAACATATTGTAACTTACACAAATTGTGCGAGGTGTATGTGAGTTCTTATACGACTCTATATGAACTCGTACGTTTCCTAGACATATTCGTATAATTTGTTCACTAGACCAGCGCACCTCCACGATGGTCTTCATGTGGTTGGTGATGAGCTCCTTCTCCACCACCTGTACGATCAGCTCCTCAGTGAACTCGTCCAGGTAGTGCTTGGCTCGCTCCGCCTCCTCGTTGATGCGCTGCTCCACCTTCTTGATGTACACGCACGCGCTGTTTTCTGTCAGGAACTTCTGGCTCTCCATCTGAAATGTCCCGCAATGCGATACGTCACATTTGAATGCAGAAGCCAGCTCAGATTTTGTGTCGCCTGAACTCTGGCTTCGGACAAACGCGGAAGGAAGGAGAGTTAAACGCCTGCCAAACGCCTGCGCCGTTGGCCAACCGTGTACATTTGTGTGCGTTGTGTGTTGCCACGCTACGAGTCGCTTTACCCAAAACTCCGTCACCTCTCTACATGCATCCTCACTGTTGTCGCAAGAAAGAAAGGGTAGGAGAGGACGAGGCGATGCTGTAAAAAAATGTGGCTACGCGTATCAGGAAGGCAGACGTCGAACGTAAACGTCGGCTGCGTTTCTCGTAAAATGCAATACTGCATATAATGGTTCAGTCAATAAAGAGAAATACAGTTGGAAATTCTTTACGTTGCTCCTTCTCGAGAGTGGGGAAACCCTGCATTTCAATGAGCGCCCTCACCGAGCATATGATGTTCCTTCTTCCTGACTTGAAAGGGAGACAGATTAAATAGGCCCGTCCGATTAGCCTGAACTGGCTAAACTAGTTCAGCAGTGCTGGTACTGGCGCATTCGATTCAACCAGAAGTTGCACAAGCACTGCACTGGCCCATTCGATTCATCCCAGTTCTGAATGAGTTCAGACCGAGTTCCTTAAGATCTTGCACCGGCTCCGGAGCCTGTTCAGCAGACGTTGAGAGCAGATGACACTCCTCGTCTGTCTCTGCTCGTGATGCCATTTTTTGCAGCTCATGTGCAAATGTCTCCAATGTTTAACAATAACGTCGAGACGGAGGTTACATTTTCCCTCATTTATGAAAATAACGTACCCGTGGTGGATGCGGAATTGAGATCCTAACCGAAGGTAGGAATCTGCTCCATTATGATATTCTAAAAGCGTTTTACGCTCCTGCTCACGCAGGTTTGGCTCCCTCCACTAACGAGCCTGGGAAAAACGCCGAGAATCGGCATTGGCTTGGTAGATCCACGCGGATCTTTTTTGAGAATCAGTATAAACACTTTAACTTGACGCCAAGGTGACGGTTGATAGCTGGTTTGGCCAAAATGCTCTCGTTGGGCCTTCGTCTTCGAAGTGACCGCTACCGATCGCACGCTGCCGCCAGTAACTCCCGACGCGAAATCATCCTGATGCCACGAACCTATTGTCGAAATGTGAAACTTGAGTGACTAGGAATGAATCTACTATTGCTAAATGAATGTGAAAGACACAAACGCCTATGGGAACGATGGGAAGCAGACGGCTGTTAGAAATGCAGACAGAAATGCATTTCAAGCAGAAAATGTTTTTAGTACACTCGAATAAAGAAACAGTCAAAGAAAAGGTTTCGTTTCTATATTTAAAAAATACTACCGTAATATACCAGGGGTTGCCCACCCCATTTTTACTGAAAACTACCGTAAAATACCGGGCAAGCGCCCACTCAAAATTTAGAGATAATCGCGAAAAAATGGGGAATGGGCGCTGGTCTGGTCATCAATTTTACATATTCTCTTAGATCTTAGAAATTTGGATATGGGTGCTTAATATGGAATGGGCGGATGCACGGTATTCTACGGTAGGTTAATCTAGACATGGGCGCTTGTCCGGTCAAATCAGGCAGTTAACATATAATTTGCAAAATTCTCAAGTTTGGGAAATGTTAATAGTGGGCGCTTAACTAAGTGGGCGCTTCTGCAATATTTTACGGTAAGGAAATCGGAACGGTATCATCAAACCGGGCACAACTAAATGTAGCATACGACGTGGCATGGAGAAAAAAAAGAGCCAACAGATGCAGATGACGCCCTGCGCTTGCACTCCAAAAGCCGATCACAGCGCCAGTCCTAACGCGGCGGCTAATCTGGTTATGCGCCACCGCTGCACGGCTCCTGCACTCCTTTGAACTCGGACAGAACTATAGTCCGTTGCAGCTTAAGAAGGTAGGGTGAGGGCAAGAAAGACCTGGGGAGGAGGGAACAGACGGAACGCTGGAGAGGGGAAGGGGAAACCTCCTCTCTCCAGCGTTCTGTCTGCTTCCTTCTCCCCGGCATTCCTTTCCCTCGTCCTACCTTCTCTAGTTGCAACGGATTATAATTCAGAACTTTCTGACCGAATCGAACAGACTTAACAAGTACAACAAAATTTATGAATGCAGGAACTTAAACCGAGCGTATGTCCCAAAAGCATCTGCATCTCTAAAAGGTTATCCTGAATTCTCTATCCTTGAAGGCCATCCAAAAAAAATTGTGCAGCAATTCAGAGGCTAGCTTCTGGTACTCGATGATGCGCTTAGATATGTTCGTGATTCACAAAGCATGCCTGCCTTTGAACATCTGTTTAAAAAAAAAAAACAAGCCAAATCAAGGGCCTTTTTGTGACTGAGTTTACTCAATGAAAGATTTGTGGCTTGAGTTACTTCTTTCTTTTAATTTGAAGCTCACCTAATTTGAAGTGCTTCGCTGCTTCGAGCTACTGAGAGTAAACTAATAATAAATTGATTAATGGCGGATTCCGTTCATGATGTTTCGTCAAACGAAACCTGGCAGTCGCAGTTGCGACAGTGATCTTTTCAAGAAAGCGTTAGCTAACCTCTCTGTTAACTTGAATTTTTGTTATTTGTTTTTTCTAGATTACTTGCTAATCCTTGTTTCCCCACTCCCCCTCTGTAATGCTAGCACACGCCTTGAGTATCTCCAGGATTACAGTCAGCACAGGCAATTTCAGATGCAAAGAAATAGATTTTCCTCCGATAGTACGCACCCAATGCTTAGTCCGCACATAAAAATTTTCAACATAGCACACCTCGACAAATACCCGTTTGATTAGCTCTCAACAACCTCGTATCAGAAACAGATCATCATTAACATACTCTGTCACCCACAAAATTTGTCACGTCTAGTGATAACAAAGTAGAAAAACAATTCTCGCATAATCCGCACCTGTAGTATAGTCCACACCACATAAAATTTCAACTTTTACACATATATAGTCTCTGGATAACAGTTCGGAAAAATACAGCAAATAAATCAAATCTCGCCGCCCCGACGAGTGTCCCGCGGGCTCACCATGTAGAACTCCGCCGACTGTGCCAGGAAGGGACGCTCAAAGTCCTCCTCATAAACTGCCCTGGTGTCGATGCCAAGGTGTACCAGCATCTGGCAGGCGTTCTTGATCGCTAGCCTGGTGGGTAGACGGACAGAAAGTGGCGCTTAAGACACGGAGTAGATGATGCCGATCAAGGCACGGCAGAACCTGCTTAAAGTGGAACTCCGACGGACCGAGCCAAACAAGTCCACTGACCAGATGACCATTTCGAGGACATGGAACACCAAACACATTGCGCTGAGTTTCTACTGTGCTGTAAGGGCTGGTTCACACATTTGCATTTGGGTGTGATAGGCTATGCTGCAACCATTTGTGACAGGTTAAGATGAGGAAAAACACTGGCACCATATCGGGTAACCCTGGAACCCTTACAATCTGCATATAGCTACACCTGAGGTCTTTGGCACTAGTATTTGTGAGATTAAATCAATGCACTATCTATAACAAGCGGTCGCCTATAACTAGGAGTGCATGCTTTCAAAGTTTATTTTTCACGAATTCGGAGGGTGTCCTTTCGAAGTTTACTTTCCGCTCAAAAGTCGGGGTTTATCGGAGTTTGTTTCTGTTAAGTTCCCAGTCCCCTGAAATTCAAAGTTCAATTTTAGTACGGACATAAACACCCTAAATTCGTCGGAACTTACCCGTACCGCATAATATCTCTGCAGCTGCATTTGGCACTTGACACTTTGCCATTGGCAATAATAACTATTTCACGACAAATGCTGCGAAGTATTGCCTCAGTAATAGTCAATACGAGAAAAAATGAGTCCATTATGCGAGTACCTAAATATGGTAAACACTCCTTTACATAAAAACTTTCAGCCTTTCCACGCTGGTGCAGAAGGAAGACCAGTGAAGCTGTACTATGATGGGACGACCTCAAGCACGATTTCTTGGACGACCTCAAGAACGACGCCTAGAGGACAACGTCTAGGACGAACTCAAGAACGACTTCTAGGACAGCCTGGAAGACGACATCTACGATGACGCCTAGAGAAATGCAGCCTTCCCACTCTGATGAAAACCAGAGTGGAAAGGCTGGAAAGGTTTCCGCCATCTATGAGCGAGGCTGGCAAGCCGGTTGTCTCATTGCCGCCGTTGCTCATAGATGGCGGTAGCTGTCCGGAGTTTTGAGTCAGCATTTATTTGCGGGGGACATGATCCTCGGGAAACTAGCCCTTAACAGCTTCACCGTAAAAATAAAAAAAAATGTTGTGAAAACATAAACAGGCACACACAAAATGCATTCGAAGTTTATAAATTGCTGCACTGCGGGCCCTGACCAAATGTAAACGGTGGAGAGCGTGGCTTTCGATACATGCTACGCCACCTGCACCACAACAGCAAAGAAACAAGGGGCGATTCGAGTATAGAAAGGAGGTGCTCACCTGTCGACCACTTCCCCACGCCGCTCGCTCATCACCATGCCCAGCAGGGTGTCCCGCAGGTGGTCCCGGATGCAGCCGTAGCGCACCACTTGGTCCCGGAAGATGATGAGCCCCAGGTTGTACACATTGTCCACATTGTTCTGCTGCACGTACACACGGTCCTGCACGGGGTGCAGACGTTTCGCACGACCGTCTCCCTTTCTCTCGGCTTCGACGTGGCAGACGCTGGCCAATCGGAAAGCTCGGCTGGTTCGATTCTTCGGTTCAATCTGGTGTAATTAGATACTACAGAAACATCCAGCGACTTTGGGCAGGGCCTTACAAGATCGTTTTGTGCCACTATGCTCCGTTTACCCTTTAGCTGAGACTGCAGCCCATGCCAAAAGCACGAGAGCTCGAGGTTGCTGACGCTGCTTTGAAGCGTTCTTCCGCAGAATGAGCACTCAAACTAAAAATGCACGTCTCAAAGCCAGGAGCGCGGGCTAGCTTGCGCTTGTAGCTTCAGGTCCTGCCTCAGCCTAAGGGTGAACAGTGTATACTCAGTTTTGGCTTATATTGGACTGCAATGGACGCTACAAACGACCAAAGCCAATCCATAGCCTGGAACGTGTCATGCGACATTGAACGTTGCTCTGCTGAACTAGAAGGGCACGTGACACCCTCCAACTATGAATTTGCTCCGGTGGCTTGTAGCATCAGTCGCGGTTCAACGAAGCATAGTAGTAAATATTTGAAGACTGCAAAAATGGGAATGCAAGAGGTTTTTAAGATGGTGTCCCAGCAGCTAACCCCCAAAGCACTCTCTATTAAAACATTTCGAGTCACGCAACAATTAAAGGGACCATGAAATGATTTTAAAATTGAATTTCATCCACCGCACGTCGTAAAAGGTTTGAAAAGAAACACAAAAACACAAAAATAGGGAGCCAAAAAAAATTATTTGCTATAGAACTTTTAAAAGAAAACTGGACTCTTTTGCGCCTTCTTTCCTTCGAAAGCTCGCTGCCTTTTCACTACGATGCGTCCGCGGAAACGGAGCACGTCAGCCGAATCCACGTCGCCTATGGGGTAAGAGCCTATCTCACCAGCACCGCGATCGTAAACAATAAATAGCCGGCGAATGTTTCCTAAAAGTTTTGTTAAATAATATTCAGATCCACATTTTGTAGCATAATTAGAGATGTGTGGCGAAAATTGCCCAATTTGATAATGCTGAGAGTCAAGCGCCATCTATCGTGCGGTAAACAAAGCAACTACTGCGCGTGCGCAGTAGGGCAGGGCAGACTTCAGTTACTTGGGTCGCGACGACCGACGAACAGTTATTTCCTTCGATTTCCTTCCTCTCAAAACTCTGACTGACTGAACGTTTATTTTTCTATGAGTTCTTCTCGCGCGTGCCGACTTCAAGCAGCAAGAAAAAAAGTACTGAAAACAGACCACGACGAACAAGAACGCTGGATCCACAAACACCCGTGAAAAGCGACAACCGCCACGAATTCACCGACTCCGACGAAGCGAGCTGCTCAGAATATAGGCCTAGCAGGCACTCCGACTTGGCGCAGCGTTGCTTCGTCGCAAGACCGTTTGCCTACGACCGGCTGGCGTGCTGAATGGAATATGCCCGCCCTTGTGGACAATTCCCGTATTATAGTTCGATCGCTGACCTCAATTTTAGATTAAGAGGTGAGGTCAATCTCTTCCCCTTGTTTTCCGAGGCAGTGTTGACGAACACTCGTCGAAAAGGGACTCTCGTCAATTCTATCTTCTTGTTTGGTGTGATATAGAGCTGAGATAAACGCCGTATGGATTACCTTCGTAACACGGTATGTACACTTTGTTATTGGTATGCCATTTTTATTCAGACAGGCTGCACGTCACTGTCCAGCTATAACAGTTCGTGGGAGGTATACGTGCAATGCCGGTCCAACCTTTCTTTGCCAAGTGTCGCGTCAGTATCGAGTTGCAATCGTAAAAGATTGGTCCCGAAGCGCTTACCAACAGCGCGAATACAGCACTTCCATCAAACGCGCGCGTCCGCTCCGAGTGTGAACAGGTATTTACGTGGCTTTTGCTGACACTCGTAGTTCAAATGCATCTTTTTTAACGTCGGCTCGCTTCTGCATCTCAGAGGCCACGAAAAACGCCGCGGCAATTTGTTTCCATCTACGTCGCTTTGCAAACGACTGACACGGGCCGCCTTTTACCAACAATGACAGTTGGGTTGACTTCTGGAGTCTTCACCGGAAGACTCGCTGCACTTCCCAACAGGCATACCGGCGTATGGGACTAGTCCCATGCTGTCCCTGTAGCGCAACGTATCTCATTGAATTTCGCTCAGCTGCGATGCGGCGATGAGAGGCGTCGATTCAGAAAATACGTCGGTGACATCAGCGCAGTAAAACCTACCGACGCACCCCAACTCGTCGCCGCTAACGCTCCCATTCTCCTACTGCCGAGAAAACTTCCGGTTCCGGAAACAGCGTACGTCACGGCTTGTTTTGCGGTCAGTTGGAGAAAAAGAAAAAGTCTATATTTCATTAATTTTTTGTGTAGAAGTTAATAAACCGAGACGAAAACGGATGCCTGTTCGGCATTCAGTGAACATTGACGGTTTAATGTAAAAGTTATCTGGAAAAAGTAAAAAGGTCATTTCATGGTTCCTTTAAATGCCACATGTCCCAGTTCCTCTATAGACATTTCTTCCTACAGCAGAAGCTCTCTACGGTAAAGACTGCTATAGAGAAGACGTGAATTTACTGAAGAATGCATGTAATACTGGTGCAATCAATATAATATTTTTTTCTAGAAAACTGACCTTACAATAAATTTTACTGTATCACAAAGAGAAGACAGTAATCCAGTTTTTGTTTTCAGCATTTTTTTAAGCGGTGTCTGATACTTTCCATAAAATAAGAATTCAATAATCTGACACATTTACGTAAATAACGATTCACAAAAACCATCACTATGTTTAAGCCCAGCATTGGGTAAACTCTGAGTGGCTTTCGTAGCACAAACATTGGTTTAGTTCCCAAATCTTGTGTTGTAGTAGCTTTTTATTTTGAGGAATTTCCCAATTAAACAGAACTCACTCGTGTGACCCTTTAAGAGAACTTGCTATATTCGGCTCTGCAACATTGGCGATCTCTATTTCCCAGAAGAAAAAGTCAAACTTTCTGTTGTTGTCCTAAGACGACGACAGTTATGTGGCAGTATGCGCTCACCATGTACATGAGGATGTCCCGAATCATCACCATGCTTGTCTGGTGGTCGTTCCACGCCTGATTTAGTGTCTGCAGAAAGTTGTTGTGCAGGGAGGCTAGGACATCTGCCCGAACCTGAGAAAGAACAGACACGCGAAACAAGGTTACCAGACCGTTCCCATCTCTAAGCTTAAATTTAGAAACTCGTAAGCATTGAAACAAAGCAAACAGGAATTATTGACATTGTTAGTTATTAACACGAGGAATGTATAATTATCCACCAAGATTCTGGTTGTCAAGGAAAAGCTTTGATTGAAAACATTTTGTTTGTCACAAGGCTGCAAGGGTTTCACCAACCAGCAACTTGGCGCTATACAAGAGAGAACCTAGAAAGTGTATGTGGAAAAGAGGACAAACCATGCTCGGTGTCAACTATTTTGCACTACATTTCTGCAGTGCTCCATCGTTGTCAAAACTACTTGCATCAGCGCTTACAAATGCAAGAGGATGTCACGTGCACATACTCTCGCAGCAATGCGGGGCTACAGCCATAAGAAGGCTGGCTGGCCTTGACAACATAGCACAAAATAGACTTTTCTAAAATAAAATGTGACACTAAATATATGGGGCGTTTTTGGAAATACGGGTAAAATCACTCCTGCGAAAACTACCCATCGCACCGAAAAAAGGTTGATGCTGTAGTGGCCTGTGCCAAAGGGCCCATTAAGGTAAATTATTAGCATTCAGTATAATTGGGTAAATAATTTCTTTTCAGTAATTACATTTTTAATTATTAATTTTAAAGATACTATGGTTTTAATCAGAAACTTGATGCGAATCATCGAAAACCACTAAATCCACAACTTTAGAAAGCTACAAGGCAAGTGCAGCACTTTAAGGCGTTCCATAAAAATGCTCCATTTTGGACGTGTTTCTAGATTTCGGTCTCTTATCGGAGCGTATATCTGCTCCAGCAATCCAGCTAACCCTACTAAAATGTGCACCTATACGCGCCGCCACGCATCGAGCATAGATGAGGCTAGATAAGAAAGCCTCCAGACTGCCGCACGAGGTTTGCCTTTTATATGTTGGTGCCAGCGTGAAGACACCTTTACGTGCAATGCATGGCCACTATGCAACGGGCATAGTGTGGCGGCGGTCACCTCGAAACCATCCCAGGCACCAGAGGTCGCCGTCGCACGAGGAAGGGCCTTGGTTCTGCACTTCCTCAGAGCCCTTTATACTGAAAGAGTTTGGCCATCATTTGAAGATACCGACGGTCCACCAACCACAGCTGGAAATAAGGCAACCAGGCGGTGGCACCTTGTTTCCACCATTTTGTGTGATTGAATTTCGAACCCGCTTTGGATTAGGCACGCAAGGTATGCGGTGACCCACCATTGTAATAAAAGTGTTTATCGCTAATGTAAGTGTTTTTGGCGCTGCACATGCAATCAGAAGCTCAAACTTACTTTTCTGCTACGATCTCTTAAAATTATATGAGCTTAAACTTATTCCTCTTTCGTGAAAAGTGAACGTTCAATACTTTGAATATTAAGTCTCAAAAATTACCACCGCAAAAATTTAGTGCCGTGACGGGCGCCATCTAGGAGAGGCGCTACAAACCTCTGCGCTCTCTCGCCATATTAATTTTTGTTTGAGAAAGCCTGATTTTGTTTAAAACCAAAAGAGATAAAGCTTATTTGTAAGTTATGTTTTTGGAGATCAATACAGGATGGCCAGTGCTTGAATATAGTGACCAATTGCACGCATAACAAAGAGTCACAGTACAAGAAATTGTGTTTATAAAACAACTACTAACCGCACACTTGAACTAGTGCACGTAAGTTGGGTAGCCAAAAGCAGAATCCTCCATTTTGTGTGATTGTAAAGTTTGCTTATTCTAGCGGGCGCCAGACTTCGCCCAGTGGCCAAACTCTCCCATTATACAGGGCTCTGCTCTTCCCTGAACTCGTGCAAAACATTACGAGGCACTTGAGGAAGGAACGTTTTTCCCCTTGTTGAATGCATGAACTACTTTTACAGGTCCAGCTATAAGAAACGATCGTACAAATTAAAGTCCCTTTTCCTCTTTTAAAAACCTGCTCTTAAAAAAAAACAATGTGTGACGCATTTACACAGTTACAGCTGTGTTGCTTATTTAACGATATGACGATGATGATCGATTGACACTGCGCCAATCGTGCGTCATACGGCGATCCAACACTGAAATGGTGTTGCGTTGACTTAGCATCGATACACTGATGAATAAATGATTTTAAGGTCATGATGTGTTTTCGCACCAAATTTAGCGGGGAAACTAAATTGGTGCATAGGTCACGTGAAGTAAATTTTTCAGCTAAATTTAGCGGGGAACCAGAACTTGTCTTTGGACCCTGTAACACCAGGTCACGTGGCATCAATTTTACCGCCAAGTTTTTATGGGGAAACTGAATTGGCGGGTCGGTCCCACGACGTCAACTTTTCCACTAAAGCGGATAAACTGAATTGGTGCATACGTCACGTGACAACAATTTTTCCGGTGAATTTAGCGGGGAACCTGAATTTGTCTGTAGGTCCCGTGACGCGAGGTCACGTAAGCTCACGCTCATGCTGTCTAAAAACCAGGGAACAGGCCACTAACAGCTGTTGCTGTAAAAAGAAAAGCAAAACATATTGAAACACTCAGCAAATGCCTGGCCGACTTCGGTATACCAGTGTAACCCTGTTGTATACTCCCCTTTACTTTACGATGGACTGCAGAGGACGCTACGAATGGCTTGTAGCGTCCGCTGCAGTCCATTGCAAGATGAAACAGAGTGTAGAGCGTTGCAGGTATCCGCAGCAGTGCTCCAGGCCGTGGGAACGACCTACCGTCAGCCGAAACCGTCAGATGTTGCCGCATACCCCCCGCTCACCCTATCAGCTGTCTTCCAGTGAAGAGCAAAAAGAATGGAGAGCAGGGAACCCACCTTGCTCACTAGATGCTCTGTCACCACTTCCCTCAGTCCCGTGTAGAGTCTCTCCCCGTGCTTGTGGAGCACCATGGTGTAGGCATTCCGGTACAGCTCCTCAAAGCTCAGTCCGCTGTTGTTTTTCTTCTGGATCTCTTGGATGGCATTACGCAGCAGGCCCCAGATGTTCTGAACATACTTCTCGTCCATCGACATCTGGGGGAGGGGGACGAGCCAGAAAAAAACGACAAGTTACGACAAGCCGGACCGGTTCAACTAGAACACTCTACACCAGTTAAAACTACACTGCCGAACATTAGAAAAAAAAGAAAGAAAAGAAATTCTGTGAGTATGAAATGGTGAGTTGGGCCACCTGGTTCATGAAGACTCCTTCAGATATTTGCATAGGGATCGGTTTTGAGCGCGTTAACGCACTGCAGCTCGGGGTATGTCGAGTGAAGGGTCGTACTACAGACCCCAGGGACCTTCGGTTTGATCCCACCCCTGTCCGTTTCGATTCGGATGAGCACATAGTAGCGGCGTACTGTAGATGCACGTTACATACCCCGGGCTAGGAGCCGTTTCTTTGACTGGCAAAAGTTCCCGTCTATGGCGGGGACTCCAGGCGCCTGTTGGAGCCGATTGACTTTCCGCTGTCTAAACATACACGCAACACAATTTTTTAGATATTTGCATTTCGAGTGTGAGTGACTGCCTTACGGGCGCTTACGATATTTGCAACTCCCGCCGGCCACTTGCCCTATCACAGACGAACGAAGAACCAGAGGAGCGGGGACAGCGGCGGAGACAATGGCAGGGACTCTTGGCCTTTCTGCTGCTGTTCTGGTCGGCGTGTTCGAGCATCATGCAGTTTTCATTGAAAAAGCGAGCGCATTAAATAGGGTTTGTTGTGGTCCACTTAGCAATAGTGTTTCACAAAGGGACCGGGATGTCTCATTTCATCAGACGGTTTTAAGGGATTGCATACGATGCGGACTTCAAGTTCTGCAGTCGCAATCACAATCTTTGCTCAATGTGATGGCAAAAGATTCCTCTAGTAGTGCAAAGTTCTTGTGTACGATCTACGAAAAGTCATTCTTTCCAGAGGGTTTATGGGAGAACTGCTCTCTCAACGGTGCATCGAGTGATAGATATCGGGAATCGGTTCACATTTTATGCACTGAAAGGCCGTGACAAGGTACATGACAGTTTGTTCCGCACACTTCCAAAAGACAGCCTATGCATACCTGCAGTCAACTAGTTACAAAGGCACATAAAGAAATGCTCGTAGCATTTTGAAGCCCGCCTGTGTGCCGATCGTGAGTTGTTAGAATGGACAGTTTCGGCGAGACAGGTTGCGATGATGCGAATAATACAGTATACGGATGGTAGTACACAGCATATCTGAATATTTATCTTGGCAAAGCAATAAATATAACCCCAAAAACTGCCAATGGCATTATTACGCATTTCTTCAATAGCATAACCACAGGCTACTGTAGCACGCCAACGCTCCTGGCGCGTGCTCTGAAAACCATACTTCAAAGGTGCAGCACGTAGGTCGCGATGCTTCACCTGCGGTTATGCTATGCTAAATCTATTTATTAGTAACCAAGGTGCACGTTGATCACGTGTTGCATTGCACTAAAACTGCGACAGTGTGTACTCATCCGTGGACCTCTGACGACAGAGAGAAGTCAATACTGTGAATGATGCTCTACCGGAGCTTGACGTTCCCCCCACGTGGCTCACGTTTTAGAGCACTGGTGACCAGGCACAGTGCAAACACTGCAATATTTTCAGAAAACACAAAAATATTTTCCCGCATACAATGATGTGACCGACGCCCAAAACACGCTTGCCCTCGAGCAAGCCTCACAAGTTGTAAACCGTTTCCGCAACCTAAAAAAAAACTTGCTTTGCTAACGCACGTAAACATCTCCCGTCATCTGTGATATGCTCCTGCCTTGATTTGTGGCCAAATAAATTAATTTAAGCACACGGTCCAGTGTCAGCGAACAGGCGCATGGAAAGTCTACCCTACCCCTACACCTACCCCTACCCCTACCCCTATCCCTATCCCTATCCCTACCCCTACCCCTACCCCTACCCCTACCCTTCCCCTCCCCCCCCCCCCCCCCCCCTCCTGTCTCTTCCGCCACCTTGGAACTACTTTCCCACCATCTATAGGGTGCTGGAGTTGCGAATAGCTTACGATGAGATAACACAAGGGTACAATTTCGAAATCTGTTATGCAATGTCCTTTCATGACGGGTTTGGAATAATTGTGACGACGTTATGAGCGACCATTTCTCGTAGACGGTGCTTGGATTTGAGCTTGGAAATATTTCAAAACCTTCGGTCTGGTTCAGAAAGTACACAGACCGGAAGTAGGACACTGCTAACTGATAGATGGTATCGGCATGTTTTCCGTTGTAAGGAGCCCAAAGCGGTTGTAATGCAATCGTTACCTCAAACATAAATGTGTGAACCAGCCTCTAGTTGGAAGCAATTCCCACAAAATATCATGCTGACAGAGAGGACATGACATTGCATAGTGCCAAAGATGTTTAGGGATACCTTCAGTTCTAGAAAATGATTTTGGTAACTTAGTGCCTTCTGGTGGCTTTCCTAAGGCCAATGTCACAAATAAACCATAAAAGAAAAGAACTGAAAAAGGTTTCAGTCAAGTTAAAATGTGTTTTTTTTTGTAAACAAGATGTTAGATAATTACACTTTTTTCAAAAACTGTAGAAGGGACCCCTTGGTAATAAAGGGTTAGTCACCGATCAGGTTGGCATCATTATATATAAAAGGAAAAAAAATTAAAGAGAAAAAAAAAAAGAAACATGATTGTGGTATGTACATAATCAAAATGTAAAACCAACTGAAAAGAGAGAGAAGAAAAGGCAGAAAGTCAAGGAAAAAAGAAATGGCAGTTAGGCTGTGTGGTAGGGAGTTCTTGTGCAGGTATGGCTTGTTTAAAGATATAGAATTATAACTTGGCAGTTAGGCTGCGTGGTAGAGAGTTCCACATTTTAGTAGCAATGTAAATGATGGTGAATGCGCCATAATTAGTTTGTATGTATGGTACAGACAGTGACGCTTGGGAATGTGAACGTAGAGGATACGTGACATCTTCATGAGTAAAACTAACTAAAGAGAATGTTATCCGATTGGTGATGAACTTAAAGGGGCACTGACACCCCAAAGGTCGTATTCTTTTTTATTGTCTAAAACGATGCAAGTTGTGGTCATAAACACGCAAAAAAAACCGCATCGCAAAAAAAAATTTTCTTCCGCGCGCGCGCGCCTCTTTATTTTTGGCGTTTATATTTCCCGCGCTCACCTCCTTGCTTCTTTTGATCGGTGACGTCAAAAATCAGGAAATTTAGAAGCTTTGTAGGCGACCTTTCTATAACATTTAATAACGGCAATCGTAAAACATGTTTTTTAACGCAATTGCGAACGCACTACGGCCTTTCTTTTTGAAATACCGAAAATAAGATTTCGGTGTGATGTCGCTTCCTGGATTTGTATGCTCCCTCGGAAAACTTGGCGGCGCTCGAGCAGAGGATTATCGGCGAGTCGGGGACGAAACCGGTTTTCTTCCCGCGCCGGCACCCTTCTATCCCTTCTATCCCGCCTGCTCGCCTCCTCCTCGCTTCGGGCCGCGGTAGCAACGGCGCTTAGCTTCACAGCGTGGAGCGGAGGTCCGAAAGAAAGTCAAGTCGCAGGAGACCGCAAAATTAGACTCACTGCACTGGCGCGGATCGCGCGAGAACTTCAAATTCGGCATTTGGAAATTGTTTTTTTAATTCAGAAATACTGAATTCCCAAGTTTCAAATTTTGAGGGTAATGTCCAGGCATCGTTTTCAATCGTTTCGGATAGTAAAATAAAATATGATTTTGATGTGTCAGTGCCCCTTTAAATGTTAATAATGCTATACAATAATCGAGGCATTTATGAACTGTTAAAATGTTGAGGAAGCAGTATGCAAATTGAGCACTTTCGCGCCTATTAACAAATAACACTGCTCATAGTGTTGTGTTGTAGTGCCCCGTAGTGCAAGGGTGAACACAATTCTCGTTGCTAAAACTACAAAAAAAAAAAAAAGTTGCGGTTTGGCCACAACGGTGTGGACAAACTTCGGCTCTTCACTGGTCCAAGTGCAGCTCTTCCAGCACCCTGAAGAGCGAACCCCTCCCCTCCCCTCCTGCCCTTGCCTTCCCTGCAAGATCAAAATAGTTATAGAATGCGCGTTTTCAGAGGCTATGCCTCGTGCCACTACACTCCTGTAAGGTGCGCCTCTTAACATTAAAGGCAGTGAACCGAAAACTGTGTGCAACCCCGTTGGACAAACAGCTAAAGGAGCTATTCAGGACTACGACAACATCATTCCAGCCGAACTTCGATGTGCTTGTTTCCCAAATCGGGATGCACAATATATGAATGCAACAACAATGAAGAATTGGTTTTTGAGTCTGAAGGGAATTCGGAGTGGCCACCAACTAATATTTAAGAAAAAATCAAGAACAAAATCTTGCCTCATCTCTTGTTATTGCGGCTCGTCACTTAGAGTTGCTCTTTTTTATGGCTCTTTGCATACATTTGTCAGGGCCAACCCTGAACTAAGACAGAAAATTTCAACATTATTTCCGTTTAATCGGCACATTTACACAGTGGTTTCCTATGGGCCGATAGCAGGCATTGTTGCTCTACCATCCTCCTTTGCTGCACCCACAACATCAACTTACATGGACAAGGTAGGTGAAGAAGATTTCAATTCAAGTGCAATTTGGGAGAGATACTAACCCCTTATTCTCAAAGTAATCATTCAAAAGTTGTCAGAGGTTCCAGCCATAAAAGGGTGGGGTCTTGTCGGTACGAGAGCAGCAGCTGAACTAAAAGGTCAGCTGACCTTTTAGTTCAGCTGACCTTTTAGTTTAGGGAGTGCGTTCCTCTTTATAGCTTAAAGGGGCCCTGCAATCATATTTAAGCGTCTACCTTTTTTGCGGTTTCCACGTCTCTTGGGGTTTGGGCAAGCCAGCGGGCACGGAGAGAGTAACTAAATATCAGTACGTCATATTTTAACCGCACAACGCGGAAACCTCCTCCACCTACGGGGGCGACCCGCGGTGCCGAAAGCGTGCATTATGTGACGTCTTAGATCCCGGGCTTACTAGTGGTTAGAGCCGCTGAAAGCTGCTTTTTCGTCGAAATACAAAATATGAGCAGCGCAAACCGTTTCCATTATTTATAAAAGTAGTTTTTGTTCACTATTTTCGATCAGAAAAGAAACAAATGCAGTTTAGAAAGTACAGAAACAAGAAATGACCTGTCGACATACTCGCCACCAAGCGGTAAAAAAGGCGGCGAGGTCCCGGGTTCGATACCCGGACCAGGCGGATTTTTTCGGTCGCTCACCAGTCACCTAGCTGTGTTTGGAGATTTATGTTTGTCCTTTGTCCCTCTTGTTCCCCTTCTCCAGGGATTACTTTCGGCATACTAGAAAGGGATAGTGGGATCAGGCACCAATGAACGGCGAGCGCGGAAAGGTCCCGGATCTATGCGACGGCGCTGTGATCGTACGGACTGGAGGATTTGACCGGTTCCGAGCATTCCCAAAACCTTTGGCGAGCAGCTTTGGCTGGCGGTTTGGCCTTTTGGCGTTATGGCAGCGCGAAGGGGCTCCTATTCTGATCTGATCTTTACCCTGTGTTTGCTGTCGTTTGTGGCCAATAAAGTGTCATGCCGAATTAGTGTTTAATCGCGCAGCAAATGCAATGCGAGCCACCCTGGCTGCCCGCTTTATACAGCCTAGCCAGAATATGCTTTAGTAACGCCCTCTTGAGCCGTCGACACGGAGAGCGGCAGCCGTGACCGCTCGCTGAGCTCACTACCCCTTCTCTAGTTCACGGCCACTCAAGCAACCAAGGATGTCATGAAGGAGGATATTTTTTGCTTGTTTTTGTAATTTTAATTTGCCTATAACTTTTAAAATACAGTGAAATTCGAGAGAATTCGAAAAGAAAAGTTTCGTTAAGTTACTACGTTCAGTGCACTCAGGTTTGGTGCAAATTAAAAACCAGTAAAAAAGTCCTTGCAGGGCCCCTTTAATTTAGAGAGTCTACATTTTTGAAACTAAAAAGTGGATTGTACTCACTTGTACAAACGAACGAAGTGAGAGCTACATACACAATTCTTGAAAGAAAATTTACATGTTCAAATGGCAGGTTCATCAAACTACTAGTTTGAGCAACCATACTGTCACCGCTAAGAGTTTTGCAATTCAAGTTGTTTCCTGGGCCCGTTTGCTCGAAGCCGGTTCACTTTAACCACGATAAAAAGTTAATTGGATATACATCCGAGGGGGAATTTTAGGTCATTTGACTGGTAGAGTAAGAAGGATGGCGGGGAAACATGGCGGTGCCCCTGTGAGAGAGCGTCGCTCGCTTTGGAACTAATATGTTGTAGTAGCTGCAATAACGGGTGCGTTAGTCAGCAATTAATGGTTTTGGAGGCTTTCGCTTTGCCTTACCTCACTTAAATCGCAAAGCGCGAGCAATGACCTCGCTGCACTTTTTTTAGATAGTCTTTCGATTGTGGCCATTCCTCAGCCTAAATGAATGCGGTGATTGTAGGCATGGCAACGTCTTTGGAATATTTGAGTGGATTGCCTCAACTCAATTGGCCAAATATTGATAGCACGCAGAAGCAGACAGCGTCCCAATAGACCTTATGCTAAATCTCCCAAGCAACGAGGTGCATGCTACGAGTATAGTTACATGCGCTGCACATGCTGGCATCTGTAGAAGTAGCTGTTCAAAAGCAAAAGACTAAAACAAATTTTATCTTGCACGTGTGTTCACCAAAGCCTTATGTTCATTTGATTTGAATCTTTTATACGGGGAAGGATAGTGCGTGCAAAGCATAGAATTACTCTTTCAGCCTTCCCCTCGATGCTTAGATAATTTAGTAATAGGTATATTTTCACTGAAATCAAATTTTTTTTACCTTATTAAAAATAAATGGGATGCTGTCGCAAAATATTGATTGGGTAGCCTTCTGACACCATTTATAAATCGCCAGGCAAAAAATTAATTTTTTTTTTTTGGGGGGGGGGGGGGGGGGGGGGGAAGGGGGGGGTGTTAGTGTCCCTTTAAGTATTGGATCCTAATTTATTTCTGAAATGTCAAGCTTAAATTTATATTTTTTTAACAACAAATGTTTTATTATTTTTACGTTTTTTATATGGCTTTCTGTTTCAACACAGGAATATTGAAAGGTGATCATTTATAGCATAGCATCCCGGCTTTAATTGGATGAGGCAGCATGTTCATAATAAAAAGGTAGATCATTGTTTCACTACGCATGTGATTCTAGTAGGAGATTTAATATCACTGACACATCCATTTGTTTCAATTAAAATATTCATTGCACATTTGGACATCTTTCAGCATATAAATATTAAAACCACCACCCAAGATTGAGTCATAATGATTCTCATTAACGTGTAAATACCGCTCACAAAACAAACAAAAAAAGTCTTCAGTATGGTCATCTTGAAGTCGGTAAAGCACACTTATGACAGTGTTATCTGTTTTTACAGAAAGCACTTCATAGTCCTGGGTGATACCACAGAAGTCTTCTCCAAGTTCACATTTTACTGATTTATTAAGAATAAAACACACAAATCCCCCACAACGAGACAGACACGCAGTTTAAACAGTAACTGGAGAAGCAGCCATGCCCAGAGAATGCCCTTCATATATGCACAAGCAGCCAATAAAATTTCACTTCCCTGAACATTTTTGTTTCATAGAGATTACTTAGAGATCACAAAACAATCATGTGACTTTCCCTATGATGAACACATTAGCTTTTCTTCCCATATATTCTATTGTTCTTTTTTTTTTAATTGAGCCCCTTGAACATTTTCTTAGAGATCACAAAACAATCATGTGGCATTCCTTATGATGTACACACATCAGCTTTTTGTCCCATATATTCCATTGTTCTTTTTTTTTTTAATTGAGCAGGATTTATTTTTTTAGTTTTCAAGTGTTTTTTTAGAGAAAGACTATAGAACTACTTCTGCCGGCAGTTTTCATAACCATCCTACATCTAGACTGGTAATGCACGGAGACGAAGATATGCCCATGCTCTTCAAGAACTGTACTAAAAAGTACAGGTCCTCGTAGAGTATCAGTAATGTTTGCCCGTATGTGATTTATTTATTTATTTATTGTGTCTACCAACAACCATATGGTACAGCATGGTGATGAATTAAGATTACAGTCCACTCTTGGGCTTGAAATTGAACGGCCGAAATGATAGCTTTTGATCAATTTGTTCGACGTGCCAATGTGCTCGCGAAAAACTACACAACATGTGTACTCCAATTCACACATAGTGTACAATGCCGTCACAGGTACCGGAGAGAGTGAGTGGCTATTAGCGTCCGACTTGTGTGACAATGCGTGCAAATGACGAAATACTGGTAGATCAAGCCACACACTTGCGACCGCAGTTTTTACAGGAACGAAAAAATGTCCCAACATTTCATGCAATCTGAAACCACAATTTTTAACACGAGAAGTTACAAAGTTGCAACTGTTGCAGACTTCGTTCAATGATAGGCAAGAAGTCATGTCAATCAGCACAGATAGCTCAACTAAACCCAAAAATGGTTCTGATTTAGGTAGTGACTAGCAAGATAAACCAGATGCTTTTCGGCAAACCTCAGAAAATGATGCATGCATTCATTTTTTTTTAGAATACATAAAGCATTGTTGTGCCACAAAGTCTTTGAGACACATAAAACTCTTCCAGAGTAATCAAGTTGTGAACACTTGTTTACATGTTTACCTAATTAGAGAAATGAGGTGAAAATACCCAGTAGAGTGATATGTGCCTTACTCGGGTAACGTACGAAGTGTTGTCGTAAAGTGGCTAATTAATGGTTGAAATGTATACAACTGTTACCGAATAATTAAGTACTGAACACTTGTTTACACCTGCCCATGTAGACATTCTCGGAATATTCCAAACGTCCTCGATCTTTTTCGAAGCGTTGAAGTCGGACGCTCGACTATTACAAATGCACAGCAATCCCAGACACATTCAGGCAAGGCACAAATAACGCTTCGCGAAAGTGCATACATGGACATGATTTACTGACGTCCGACATCATTTATTCACTTCACGGATCTTTAAACATCTTGGACACCAATACGATGGTAATACCAAATTCATGAGGTCCTTTTTTTTTTCTCTCGTTTACTCACAAGATTGAGGCGAAGTGAAACTATAAAACAAAAATGGCAAACAACGAAATAATGCACAGCGTCTCGAGCATCCCTTTCGAAGACAGGCGACGTCAAATGCAGTAGTTGGGGCGGTTACTACCCATTTCAAGTGTAGCAGTGTTACGTGGTGTACACATTAACTACCGTCTATTATCAAATGTTTCTGGCACTGTATCCCCTCCCGACAGACACATTCCATCTTTAGACGAGTCCCCTCAAAACTGCAGGACCTTTGTGGAATTTCAAAAGTACCTCAGCGAACCAAACGTTCGCTAGTTCGTAGCGGCGTCGATCAAAAGCGAGGATTGCGTGCCCATCGAAAACGCCCGGATTAAAGAGCCCGCAGTTTTCTTCTGCAAATCCCAGTTAGGCCTAGGTTCCGACGGGACGAAAGCAGAGATTGGTACTCACGGGAAACGCTCGGATACGCATTTTGGTGTCCTTCTTCGCGGGTTTCATGCTTGTCGTGCGTTCAGGACACGGCGTGAACTCAGATGAGCGCACACATTCACGGAGAAAGCCCTAGGCGACCTTTCGAATGTAATTCCTTGCCACCGACATCAGTAAACAACTGTTCTGGCAGGCCTAGCCAGGCTAGCACTCGCGCATTGTAGTAGCCCCTATGCTAAATATCCCCCACTGCCGTGACCGACTTTGAACTTGCTTTGCTAGTGTTGCGCTTTACAAAGGATTTGCAGCGATGACATAAACAACAACAACAAAAAAAGAGAAACCAGCCAAAATTTAGCTGCTAAGGTATTGACTATTTCGGTAGTTCTGAAATTTCGGAGTTTGCAAAAGTTCCGCAAAAAAAGCGTCCCTGATACGTGAAGTGAAACTGATTTCCCTACTTCATGGGACTTCAATTTGTTCTAAACAAAGAAATAATTATACCGCATAAAGTTTTCTGAAAAGTCGCGTAGACTTACGCAAAATCGAAATAAATCTGACTGCAGGCTTTCTACTCAAGTTACCATTTCAAGCTTTCAGATAAGCCGCACCAGATGTCGATAAAGTATTAACAATAACTAAAGCAGATAAATAAATTCACAATAAATAAATTATTACAAGTCAATAAATATAAATGACAAACATGTTGTGTATTTTCGTTTTTCGCTTAAAAAATTGTTACGCTGAATTTGGCCGTACGGAGTTAGTTGCACAAAACTTTGGGCGGCGGCTGCTGCTGCGTTGATGCGGTTGATGCTAGAGCACTATAGTTGATGCGATGTTTTGCTTGCGTGGCCGATCGGATAGTATTACTGGTATTACTCATTGTTCAAACAGTTGAACATTTTCGCATAATGTCATAACGCACACTATGCGAACACACGTCTGCGTTCTGATAAAGCGCACATCGAAGCCTCTGTATTCCGCGCGAAACTTACTTGCAGTCAAGCTCGCCACCTGGCCGCACGTGCCGAAGATGGCCAAAAGCAAGTTCGAGTACGTCCGGCAGTTCGAACAAGACGACAGGTGCCTCCCGAACTGCTGGCTCGTCGTCCGCGTCGACGGCAAAGCCTTCCACCGCTTCTCCGACGCGCATAACTTCGAGAAACCCAACGACAAGCGCGCGCTCGACCTGATGTCGCGCTGTGCCGAGCGCGTGATGGACGAGTTCAAAGACATCTGCCTCTCGTACGGCCAGAGCGACGAGTACAGCTTCGTGTTCCGAAAAGACTCGCTCGTGTACAACCGACGAGCGAGCAAACTGATGACTAGCGTGTCTAGCTTGTTCACCTCCGCGTACGTCTTCCACTGGCCCGAATACTTCCCGGACTCGATGCGCTACCCGCCGTCCTTCGACGGCCGTGTCGTGCTGTACCCCAGCGACAAGAACCTCGTGGACTACTTGAGCTGGCGGCAGGCGGACTGCCACATCAACAACCTCTACAACACGGTGTTCTGGTCCCTGGTTCAGAGCGGCGGGCTCTCGCCCAAGCAGGCCGAGGAGAGGCTTCGAGGGACGCTGTCTTCCGACAAGAACGAGATACTGTTCCAGGAGTTCGGAATCAACTACAACAACCTGTCGCCGCTCTATCGGAAGGGCACGGTCATCGTTCGGGAGCCAGTGCCCGACGAGACAGCACCGGCCGAAGGCGGCAAGAAGCCCGGGAAGCAGAAGTGCACAAAGTTGACCTCTATGCATGTGGACATGATCCAGAAAGACTTCTGGTATAAGTATCCGTTCCTGCTCGACGATGTATCCTAACGGCAACACGCGACAATATTTTTAACAAGACTCGTTGTATGGCTAGTTCGTGCATATGACGCCGAGGACATTTATAAACATGAAGGAGACATGCTTGTCAGTGTCCTCTCCTCCATATTTGTATTTGTTTGCAGTTACAAAGTTCCTGAGCACAATATTTTTAATCAGGCTACGGTCCTGCACTCCTATCTTGTATATGGCACAACACTGATAAAGCGAACAGGCGATTGCCGGTTTTGGATTTGCATCTTAAAATCGATAGACTGTTACAAAAACCACTAATGCGGTGAAAAGCACCGATTTAGGGCAGTAAACTAAGTGGTAAAATTTGATGTTCGCCAACACCCCTTCAAAGTATGATGCGCAAAAGCGCCAATGTCGGTGTTGCGTAGTGCACAGTACTTGCCAAACTCGTGCAGAGCATGCAAACTCAGTCTTATCTAACGGCAGCACTCCTGGCGGCAGCCGAAAAACTGCTCTACAATGTAGCTATCAATGGAACAGCCTGAACGAGGGAAGCTGCTTGCTGAAGGTCGAAATCACGCCTGCACCATAGACGCTGCAGCGATTTTGCTAAACGGGCACTCTACACTTCTCGCCAACCCCCTTATGCAAAGGTGGATATGTGACTACTTGAATTGTCAGTGGTTGGATGGCTCAAGCAGCGGGCATTTCCAGTTTCTAGTGAATGGTCGAGGCATTTAATAACTGATTACTTCGGCATTCACTTATGCCCCACAGTGTGAGGCGGTGGCAAAAATGCGTTGCTTAGAAGGAAAAATTGCTGCGTTGTCCGCCAAGCAGCCACAACTTCCACCTTGAGCAAGCGACCTCCCCTGCTCAGGTTGTTCCATCAGGTGCTAAGTTGTGGAGCAGTTCTTCGGCTGCTGCAAGAATGGAGCTCCAGTAAGATCACAGTCCGCATGTTCCATATAACTTTTGGTGAGCACTGTACACCTGGGATTTGAATAAAAGGGACACACACTTCTTCATGAAGAACAGCACCAATAAGATTTATTCCACACTGGAAATGTGCTACATTATAGACCTCTGACAACTTCATTAAACAAAATATAAGATGCATTGTAGAATACCGAGCGCTGGAATGAAGTGCATAGCTCAAAGCTTTTTTTGTTACATTCAGGTGTAACTGCTCAAGAGAACTAACGAGCATTAACCTAGTTTAAAGAGACGCGCAACACGAACAGGAGGCAAGGTGCTTAACAATCACCCACGACCATAAATACGTTTGTAACCATTCCGAGTATGCTGCACCATAGCAGGAAGCTGTTAATGGCTTAAAACTATGCAATGAATTCCTAGTTAGTATCACAGAACTGCGGCATGCCCTGCCTTGTGCCCAAGCGAGGCTTGGACAAAAATACGATTTCTACTATATGATTCTCTCCAACCAGTGACGCCCATGGAATATACCTCTTGCAACGATTACAAAACAACATAGTGGTACCCCCCTTCTACGAGGCAACAGTGTAAGAGGGTGGTGGCTTGTCTCCGAGGTACAGCTGGAGCTCGTTCCACGCTTTTGCTACCTGCAGAGAGAATGAACAAACAGCTTAGACATACACAATTTAACATAAATTTCCTCGGCTGTCCCTGCCCCCCGGCAAAGCGTTTTTACAGTTTAAGCGCTTTTTTAGCAGGTCTCAACTGTGCACTGACACGCAATCATGAGCCCAACACTCTCCATTATGCACATTATAGTTTACCTGGCCAGTAGGCTCTTTACTACTTAATTGTATCAATGCCGAGACCAGAAAAGGGGTTCCTCAATGTCAAAACACTTGAGAAACTGGGGACGCACCATACCTAGGTGCAAGGGGTAGTGGCAGCGCGGGAACTGCAGGACAGATCATTTATCTGAGCTCCCAGCCGCCAACACAGAGTGTAGCCCCTACACCTCAGGCTGCCAAAAAGTGTCGCTGCACTGTCGGCAACGGCAATATGTCCACTATTTTGAAATGTAAGTCAGTGAGACCGACGCTACTCAACGGCGGAAGCGTAATGAAAAGTCTGGAGCCAGGGAGAGAATGATGGGCAGTGTGCACAAAATCATTCAGCCCATGGAAATGCATGACAAAACAAGTTTCATAAGCAACTGGTGCATGTTTGGACAATTTCCCCATAGCTTGTGAACAGAGCCAAAGCATCTACTTTCCTGCAGAGCATACAGACAGCCAATCATTGTGGTTAATGGAATGAGCTAAGTGGATGAAGAAGCAAATGCGCCTGTTTTCAGGCAAAAAAATTGTTAGCCCAAAGCACGATGAATTTAGCACGAACAAGCGATCACCGGTCATCCCAGTTTAATGCAAAAGCATTAACTGTAGCCGGCATTGTCTGTAGCAGCGAAACGGCACCTTATTTCCCATTGGCTGCGACGCGTCATCAATGCTAAGGAGCCAGCCGAACTCCTGGTAGCGCAGCGGGAGGGGGGAATGCGAGCATGCATTGGCCTGACATTAAGCCTATCACTACACTTTGAGGTCTAACGTCCTGTAAGCGCAGCCGTTTGACGTGAGAGGGGGACGCAGGGATGCGTAGGCCTGAGTTTAGGCCTAACGTTACACTTTGAGGTCTAACGTCGTCAACCGGCACCCGCAGCTAGGGCGGCGATGATGATGATGAGGGGACACGTGATTTCAGGACGCACCGCGCCGAGTTTTGCATTCCCGCCGCTGCCTCACCAAGCGGCGCAGCAGTCACCAGCAAGCCACGGCAATCTGCGCGGCACAGCAGTCACCAGCAAGCCATGGCAGGGAGCTTGGCTTCGGGCCAAGCTCCCTGCCGGCGCTGCGGCCACTTCTGCGGCTCGGTGCTGAGAATGCTTTTGCATTTACAACTCGTAAGAAGTGCTTAGGTGTCCTGAATTTCTTTTTTCTCTTACAACTGAATGATTGCCGTCAAAATTACCTGCGTGATGAAATATGCTAATCCGAGCCACCATCTCTGGCAATAAACATCAATGCCCCGTTGAAGCAAAATGCAAAAAAGTGCCAATGCCTCGTTTGTGCCAACTAAAGCTAACGCTCCAGTGTCTGGTACAATTCATATTTTTGAGAAGAAATGCTTCCTGAGCCTTGTCATTCGCGCTGCCCGTTCTCTGCATTTTAAGGATCGGCGATCCACTTGCTCCTCAAGAAAGTTGACGGGTAAGCCTCGTGTAGGCAGCACACCTGTTATTGAGGTAAATGTCCATAGCCCCAACATAAGATGTACACAGTCACGCCAACAGAGATGCAATACAGACGGAGGTAGTGCGATCACGATCACAGTTAGCTGCTCCAAAAACAAGACGAGCCCTTTTTTACTTCGGGCTTTTAATGAGCAGCCCACCGCATTACGGAATTGTGGGAATTTTCGAAGCTGTGAAAGGGAGGTTTTGCCACTCCTCCAAGTTCCTCACCCAGTGTATGTGTTGTAAAATACCGAGCATCCACCCATGCCACAATAAGCGCACACCCCTCAATTTTGTAACTTTTGGAAGATACACGAAGGACACATCTTTACGCACAGCTGACCCAAGGAGGGCCCATTCCCCAGTTTTACAAGATTATCTCCAAATTTTGCACTGGCACTCGCTGCACATTTTACAGTAGATCGGGAAAAAAAGAAAAAGCTATAGGGGGCATTAAGGCAATTTAATTTTGGAGTATGGTAAGGATAGCTACGTTCAGACGCCTTGGTCGGCTAGTGTAGAAAAGGCATACAGCTCACACGGTTCCTCGTGTAACATTACACGAACGTGGAGGTGCACGGGTGTTGCGCAAGCGATCTACCGGAGCTGGCGCACCCGTGCAGACGCGGCAGACGACCCATACTTCACTGCAGTGATGTGATTGGCCTAAGCCATTTTGGACCACCTTTCGGAGCAGCCAAAATAGTGTTTCGGAGCAGAAAAAGTGGCCTTTGGAGCAGCCAGAACAGTGTTTCGGAGCAGCAAAAGTGGCTCTTGGAGCAGATATTCTTAGAAAAATAAAACAAATTGGTTTTATGTGCTGGACATACGAAAGACACTTTGTGTTGTGTTGTCATGTTACATAATGCTTTCTAAGAAAAAGGGGGTGTACACGGGTACTCCTCTTGTCCCATATGTAATTCCCCAAAACTACATTTTGTCGTTCTGTCCACTGACGTCGAGCTGGCGATACCAACTTTTACGAGCGGCTTGATAGTCGACCGATACAACTTATTGAAATAGCTAATGTGCTCATTAAAGGCTATATTAAGACAATCAAGGTTTTTTCGGCCCAGCTGCAAAACCTCAGTAAATTTTTTTTTTTTTAGTCTTTGATACGCACATTAGCTATTTAGTACGTTATATCCAACAGCTATCAAGCTGCTCGTAAAAGTTGGTATTGCCAGCTCGACGTCAGTGGACAGAACGACAAAATGTTTTGGGGAGTTACATATGGGACAAGGGGAGTACCCGTGTACACCTCCTTTTTTTTACAGTGGTGACGGAACTAGCAGCTTATGTTTTTACTGCTGAGACATCCTAAAAGTATACAGTGCTGTGGGCGTTGCCGAACAATTATGAAAAAAAACGCTTTCGTTTTACTGGTTGCCGACGTGACAAATTTTCGTCTAAAGTAAACAAACGAAGAAAAAAAAAATGGATTGAAAGCATTCCGGCTGGTGCCTCTGTCGTGCAATCATGTTTGCGTGCACGTGAGGGCAACTTCGGCAGGCTTGCAGTTGCACGTGCTTCGGCGCGCGAGCGGACACAACGGCTGTTCGATTTAAACCGTCGCCAACTGGTTCCCAAAATTGTATGCAAAATGTAGTAACTGTCCAGCAAACGACAAAAAACAGACCAGCGGCGTGTGCTTGCCAGGCTGGCAGGCGAGGTACAAGCTTAACACAAACAAAAAAATAACCTGAGCGCATCGATGCAAGACATCGAGAGCGAAAAGTTCTTGGAGCGCTTTGTGCAACGACTGAACTCGATACAAACAAGTGCGCTGCGAGTGTTCAGCGTGCAGACATTACCTTCTTTGCTTTAGCTCACTTCTCTTCATCAACTTTCTTTCACGCTAGATTTTTCACGCACCGGGGTCCCTCTCAAAGAAAGTCCGCTGAGAGAAACCTAGATAATCAATACTTTGACATAGCAATCTTTGAGTTAAAGAGGGATTTTTGTAGTAGTGTATGAATTAAACAAGAGCAGGGATGTTGATGGACATGTAGTGCAGGTATATATGCTTTAGTTTAGAAAGCGCCAGATCTGCAGCGACGTGGGGACGGCAACACCCGACGTTGCGCGACCAGGGTGACTGGCAGGCAGGGACCAAATACAGTTTTGTCATGGCCGTTGCTTTCAGGAGCGAAGGCTTCAGCTCACAAAGTAACTCCTGCAGCACAAAAACATGGTTTCGTTTCACAGCACGACGGCATGGCTGGTGCCATGAATGCTAGCATCGGAGCGTCCGCACACGCCCGTGTCTATCGTTACAAAAATTTAAAAAATTGCGCTAGACGAGATCCACGAGCGCGTGAAACTTGAGAAGGCGGGAAGAACCATGCAAGACCGGATGAATGATTGAAGCTGGGTACTCTGTGTCGGGCGGCCACTTGCGCCACCTAGCTCACGCATGCTCAATTACGGTACTCAATTTAGTTTCGGCTTTGAAAGGCGGCCTGAATTGGTCCTTTGGCGCAGGCTTGGCGCAGATTACCCATATTGTGGCAAAATGTAGCAGGATGTAACAGGGTTAGCCCCTTGGCGCAGTTTGGCACAATTGGCGCACCAATCACATCACTGCACTGTCGGGTGTGCCAGCGACGAGGAAGAGAGGAAGACCCCACCTGCTGCTCTGTGACGTCGTACTCCCAGAGGGAGCTGAAGACGACGTTGGCCATGGCCACTTGTTCTTTGTTGGGTTTCTGGGACCGGATACGTCGAAGCGACTGCTCCTCGTTCAGGCCGTCCCGAGCCATGAGCCGTTTTATTGCCTGCATCGAAACGGGCACGAATTGTCGTACCACAAACAACAAAAAGAAGGGGTGCCAAGGACGACTCGGCCACACTTATGGCCGCTTCAGACATTTGCGTTTCGAGCGTGATCGAGTCTTTTTAGTTCTTCATTTGTTTTCTTCGATATATTGCTAACTCTCAGTCGGGAGCAGAGGCAGCTGTGAGCGATACACGGGATGTGGGACACACAGAAAACACCTTGGAATATAAAATTACAGAGATGTGTATAATGGAAATGCAAAAACAGGGATATCGTAATCGGGGATTTCCCTAGACCCCGCCTAGGGGGGGTTGAGACCCCCCCCCCCTTAGTTTTCCTAAACACCTGCCCTTAAATCCAAAAAAAAAAAAAAAAAAAAAATTTTTTTTTTTTTTCAGATTGAGTAGAAAACACCACTTCTCAGGTGTATATATAGAGAAAGGGAAACATACATTACGGGTATGAGCATTTGGTTAATAGACGTCTGTAATTTAGCTAGTGGACTAAATAAGAAACAGTTTTATATTTTATCTAGCCTCGCCTCGCATTGCCTCCCCTCTCCTCTCTCTCTCTCTCTCTCTTTCTCTCTCTCTCTCTCTCTCTCTCTCTCTCTCTCTCTCTCTCTCTCTCTCTCTCTCCCCCCCCCCCCCCCACGCCATTGGGACACCCCCCCCCTTGATTAGAATCCTAGGGAAACCCCTGATAGTAATACAAATTTAGCACAGTGCAACGAAGAACACATACTTACGCTCGGTGCACTCTGCTTGCTTTTACCCAATCCGCAAATATTATTACACTTTTTACGCACTCGACTGTACTCGCACGCAAATGTGCCAACCAGCCTTTGGGACGCGGATGGGCAGAAATCAAATTTAATGTCACGCGTTGTAAAAAAAAAATATTAGTTGCAAAGTCTGGAAGATGGTTTAATGTCTATGTGGCGAGAGCTAACTGGAGTTTGATGCCCCGCTGCTCACCCCAAAACTGCCACTCTCGACAATGAGTGTGCTGACCAGGCTGTGAAAATGATAGTTGCAAAATGTTTGGCCATTGAAGGGTTGTCCGAACAAGACACTTCAGGAATGCACGAAGCGACACTTCTACGCCACAGTGCGATGATCCGCCTCCTTCCGTACTTTTGTTGTTTTGTTTTTTGGCCGGAAGAAAAGGGGGGGGGGGGGAGCTTTTTTTCAGCCAAGGTATGCTCGTGTTCTTCATGAAGGCCTAGAGCACACGCATCACGTGGGTCTGAAGAGTCGCTCGCATGCTCTGTTGACTGTCAGTCAATCGCTCGAGGCCTCCGCTGCTCTTCGAGACCCAAAAACGAGAAGGGGAAGGACACGAGGGTGCAGCAGAATGGATGGACAGGCACCGACGTCAAGGAAAAGCGGAGGAGGTGAGGATGAGAGCCGCAACTTTTGACCGGTGCATGTTAAAACGGAAGACGGACGGCCGAACTTCAACTTTTGCTTCGTGTGGTAGAGAAGTGTGGCTTCACGCGCTCTGAAGTATCCTCTTTGGATGCCCCTTGAGGCACCCCGCCCCAGGAATTGCTAGGGCACATCGTCGACATCTGTTCATCCCCCGGTCAAGCACAATTTTTTTCCTTGCTATAAGCAATATGTAACTTTCCGTACCACTGGACAAAGTGGTGATTTTTGAGAGATGAACGAAACATCTTTTATTTTCGAAACTAGCCAGCATATGGTGAATTATAATTAAAATTCATTGCTTTCAATTTATTTTTTTTTTTTTTAGTTTGGTGGTTTTTGTTTTTGGGGGTTCATTTTTTCCTAAAAATTCTGTGTTTTTCGTGTAAACTGGTTAAGTTATAACCAATTTATACAAAAACATCATATCATTAGAAAAAAATACTTCCCCCCCCCCCCCCAAAAAAAAATACCCCCAATACAAAAAAAGAAGAAAAAAAAATTTAACACACGGAACCCCAATTATGATATATCAAAATGTAGCCGATAAGCTGATTTTTTAAAGAAAAAGGAATGTCTGCACTGATGTCTGAGAAAAGTTTGTCAAATATAAATGCTGATTGGAATTCATGCATAAATAAGAACAAAAAGTCAAAACATTTTTTGCTCAACCCTAAATATAGACGCTTTCAACGCGCGCCAGATCGAGCCGCCATAGCCGACCTTCTCTTGTCTTACCGAGATGCCTAGCCACTGAAGCGGGCGTTGTCGAGCCTCCACAAAGGCCTTGGCTGGGGAGGAGGACGCAGTAGAATCTAAAATGGCAATAACCTGCCCTGCTGTGGTAATGATGAAGTGAAGCGAACGGAATAATCGGGGACAAAAACTGAAGGTCGGTTATGGCGGCGCCCATGCCCAGCTGCCTGAAAGAGTCTATACAATGTGTGCCCCATTTGCACCATTACCACTTCTGTCAGTTAGAAAACTCTAGCTAATGCCCCCCCCCCCCTTTTTTTTGTCTGTTGGCAAGTGTGCTTTTGTGGTGTCATTGCATACCGAGACGGTGTTGGATGCGGACACGCACGAGTCCTCTAGAACACTTTTGTTTTTGCAAAAGACCTGAGGTTGTCTCAGCACTGCCTTAACTTCTCATCTGCTGGAGTTTCTAAGGCTTGCATCACACGTAAAATATGTACCCTAGCTCAGAACAGCCTAGAAAGCTAGAAAGATGCTCTTTAACGTGCACCTGTTGATATTCTGCACCTTGGAGATGAAACGTTGCTGTTGGAGCTCGAATCAAACAATCCAACATCATCCACAGTCCTCGCTGCTGCTGTCTTAAAAAAACAAAAAAAACAAGCAGCAAGACCAGTTAAGTCATGCGATTAAGGCTATTTTTGCAGCGGTCCCCAATGTCATCAAGATGACAAGAGCCACTGCCGCAGGAGATTTATTTCTCATGGGTCACCAGCTCGGGAGAAAGTGCAAAACGAAATCGAAATCAAAGCTGTAGTTCCTCAACTGTTCATGAGATGGCGCAACGTAGTATTGCGCGCCAAATTAAAGTTTTGGCGGCTCGAGGAATCTGTTGATTACGAGCGATCGATCGCCAATGGCCGTGGAAAAGAGCGAAAGGGATTTGACCCCTGTATAACATACTCTAAGGTCGTGCAGCTTCAGGTGGTATTCTTGTGGGGAATACGTCCAAGCCTCAGAGCCCGACATGCCCCAGGACTGAAAGACCCTCTTACTGTTCTAATTCTGTCCGCGGCTATTGCTGCAATAAAGTTGGGCTTCCCAATGCAAACAATCTGCAATTCTGTGCGGAATGTATATTTCATTCAGTCATTAATTTACTCTGCATCAAGGGCCTGCTAAGGGCATTACATGAGGGGAAAAAGGGAAGGACCATTTATAGTATGCGAGAAATAAATACGCCGAAACAAATACATTCGGAACAGTTCAGCAAATTATTGGCAACCCGCTGAAAGGTTTGCATGAAATCTGGCATAACTTCGAAAATTTCTGGGCACACATACAATCAAGTCCAAAACCTGCCTAGAGCACGCTTAGCCCGTGCTCCAGTCGTGCTCAAGTGTGCAGCGTGGCTCGAGACAAATTTGACCGCCAGGGGAGATGCCGCTGACTCACTTCTTTCTCTGGAATGATGCTCAGCCAGACTTGGTGGCACTTGTGATCCCAGCCAGCTTCCAAAAGTAGGGCAGCCTCCAGAACCACAACCTTGACACCTAGGATAAAAAAAAGAAAAAAAGAAAGAAAAATACTTGGGCTGCACAGAGACAGACACCTCTAGCGATAGCCTGTTTGTAGCGGCTAATCTTTCAGAAGCAGATAAGGCATGCTACTCCGGTGTCGATAGATATCCACAATTGACGAGACAACCTTACCCCTGTTCGAATCGGTGTCTCAACAAGCAGTTCAGCCAAGCTCTAAGCGTACCTTAATGAAACATTTTATTTCCTTTGTGCCCTGCCCCATGCATATAAAAAAGGGTACCAAGAAAATTTACCTTTGCCTAAAAAATCTCCTATATGTTGCAAAAAAACTGCATTTATTTATATACACCAACTCATGTTTACAAACAAACCGGAGCGCCCGGAGCGCCCCTAGCGGACACCAATGGCGCCGCGCATGCGCGCTGGGGGTGTGGGCAAGAAGCTCGCCGTCGCCCATAAACAAACCATTGAAATGCAATGTTGTCGGCGTCGGTGTAAGCCCCACGCCCTTTTTGGCGTTGAAATTGTTGATTCTACGTCCTCCTAACGATGTCTGACTACTTGAGCGGCGTCAGCGAAATTACCAAGGCTCGCTACACCGCAAAACTTCGCGTGAATCATCTGACACGCGGCGATTCATACCGCATGGACGCCACAGAATGTAAGCTAAAACCTGATTCACATGATGAGATTTCGCTTGCAATTTTCAGTAGCGACGTCGCTCGGACTGTAAAAGCGTGAACCGTAGCTGAGATGTCGACGTCAATACTGAAAATCGCAAGCAGAATCTAACCAAGTGAATCAGGCATAACAAATCGTTGATGGCCACTGGTAACAATGATCAACATCTCCTTGTATCTACTGTTTACGTCCAGCCTGCTTACCAACCTTCAAACTTAAGTCTTTTGAGGCCTGCACTTACTTCTTATCGCAAGTACCGGGCCCATGTTTGATCTACGGGCCGGTGTACTCTGAAAGAGCAGACGACAAGCAGAAACGTTTGAAAGAGCAGACGACAGTTCGAACAATCAGGCAGCCGTTTGAACTTGAAGACGCACTGAACGTAGTCCGCTGGTGGTGCGTGCAACTTGACGATTTTCCAGCGCTCATTTTGGAACAAAACAAATAAATCTGATGGCCAAAAGTATCCGTAAATTCAACCCAAAATGCTTCCCGCCCAAGCAATCGTGGTCCGACGGCGTCTGGTTTTCCCTTTTCACGGCACATATCCACGTTCTCGGACGAACCGAGCGCATGAAAACTGACCTTCAAATCTTTCTCTACACTTTTGGTACAGCCCCAGTCGCAGCATTTTGACGAAAAGGCAGGTTTTTGTCTGGTTCCTTTCAAAACATCGCAGGAATACACGCCTCACATGGGCACTTCGGCCCACAGCCCCGGACCGGAAGTGCGTACGATGCCCCACCACCGCGGCGTGACGTAACAAAGATGAGTTCGTGTATATTTACTGAATATACCCTTAGGGCTTGAAGGCATTACAGTGGGGGAGAGCAGGTACAAAAAATGGGTAGTAAAAGAGCAACAAATGAACAATATATATCAATAAACAAACAACCAAACGGGTGATAAATCATTGCAAAAATAATCATAGTGAAACAATTTCAGAACAGGTTACAGAAAACTCCATGAACAGGCCTCGCATGTCAGACATTGCTCTTGTGAAAACCGAAACCAACCGACATGAAGTGAACATTACCAGCATACCTGCCATGTTTAAAGAAACCAAATCCGAGGGATTTTTACTGGGGAGGGGGGCATGTAGCTGTTTTTTTCTTTTCAAAAACAAAGATTGACAATTTACATGCAGACAACTTCATTACACTTGTATTGCACTTCTCATGCTAGTGAGGTACAGCTGGGCCTCGCTATATCATTGCTGCAGTCTGCCGTGACGGCAAAAACTAATTGCTTAAGTGCGGGGAGGGGGGGGGGTGGGGTTTTCCTGTCAACCGTACAACCTTACGAAATGGTCGAAATTCGGAAGTCTCCTGGATAATACGGGAGACTTACCAGCTATGCATTTGCATTTCTCTACTGCCACGTCCCTCATTTCGAAGTGGGTAAACCACTACCTTTAAGACAATGCCATTACAGTTCAGATAGCTGCCGTAAGATACCGGGAAAGCGCCCACTCAAAATTTAGAGATAATCGCGAGAAAAATGGGGGATGGGCGCTTGTCCGGTCATTAATTTTACATATCAATCTACTGTGCATATTTTCTCAGATCTTACAAATTTGGAAATGGGCACTTAGTGTGGAATGGGCGGGTGCGCGGTATTCTACAATAAATAAATCAACAGAATTTCCCATCGAGGCAAACACTCGTAATTTTTCTTCGCAGGAGAACCTGCTTTGGACGAGAGGGATGGAGGGTGCTGCGAAGGCAACGCCAAGGCTTTGCTATCGTTCAGAACAGTGGCCACAAAATAAAGAAAAAGGAACGTCGAAATCAGCTTACCATTTCGCGAATGTTCCTCCAGCTTTTGCTCGACCAAGAGCTCCACCTCTGGCCACACAATGCTGTTCAGCAGCAGCCTCTTTGCCTGCATGTAATAAAAAAACGGGGTTGATGAAACAGTTTAAATTACTAGAGAGAAGCTGCATTTCATCAAAATACCAAGCTGAGAACCATTTTTGATGATGTTTCACATTGGACCACCAGATGTGTTGCGTGCAGGGTTGCCGTGGCACGAGGAGACATCACGGTGTCACACAAGTCATGTCACAATGTCACGTTCCACCATGGCTTCACGTGGCGTCGCAGCGACGCCTACAAAAGCTCTTTCCTGCCATTTTCTTTTCGCCAGTGAATCAACGACCATTAAATGAAGCTCGTGTTGTACGTTTCTGTGGTTCATATGTTATACTAAAATATGCGGACGTTCCATGGGATCCGCATTACCAGTCACTTATTCACCAACTGGAAGGTGCTCAGAAAAAGACACTTCGATTTATTTATAATGCAAATGGCAAGGAAATGTCCATGACATCCTTGTGTGCATGTGGCGTAGCCAGGGGAGGGGCTTATGTCACCTTCCCCGAAATCCAGCCGAACCTATATGCCTTCATAAAAAACGCACCTAGGCCACCGCCATGTTGATGATGATGCAGTTGGTGCAACTCTCGCACCCCCTATAAGCTAGAAAGCTAGCTCAAAAAAGGTTCTCTCATCCCTAGCGCAGAGTATTTCTTGGAAAGCTGTATAATACACATATGCAGTTTGACTTCCCTCCCCTCCCCTCCCCTCCCCTCCCCTCCCCTCCCCTCTCCCCCCCCCCCCCCCCCCCCCCCCCCCGCCCCACGCCCTACCACAGACACAGATAAAGTCGTAGACATTCCTGGCTATGCCACTGCTTGTATGCCTCATCTATATACAGAAACATGATAAACTTATTCACGAGTTTTGCTGCGGATAAGACACTTTCTAATAATGTAAACAATTTAATTTTTGCGAAGACCTGATTTCGCAAATTTCGATACTTGTATAATATCCCAGAAAATACGTCCCAGAAATATGTTTCCCTGTGGTTATAAATGCATAGCATATATCCTACACCGATTCGCAAAACTTCCGTGCCCACGAAATATTCCTAAAAACCACACTTGGCCGAATTCGCGAAATATTGAGGCAGCATAAATGGTGTCGTTTACAGTATACATTAATGTTTTCCTAGGCATCCGAGCTCGGAATGGTTTGCCTCATAGTGTAACAACCCATGATTTGTTTGCTACAAGCACTTTAGATACCAATATTTTAATTTCAAGTGACTAACCGTGATGTCAACTGATATTCCTTAAAAAAAAAAGAATGCCTGCATTTTGTACTGTGTATTTGAGCAAAATTGTATGTTCCTCTGCACCTTGGCCAACAAAACTTGGTTGGCAGGATGCTTCAAATAAAAAGATGTAGCCAAAAGTGCTGTGTAGATAGTGGTTAAAGGGGTATTCACACGAGGGAGAAATCCCGAGAATTTCTCCCCGGCGTGCGTGCATCACGAGACGAAAACGCGAGACTTTTGCACATCGCAAAGCCTGACGTTTTCGTCGCAGGATGCGCGTGCCGTGGAAAAATCTCCGGGATTTCTCCCTCGTGAGAATACCACTTTAAGAGCAATAGCATTTCACACCACCTTGTACAACGTAAATGTTTTCACATTAAACTGCCTAGGCACTGCTGTGGAAATTCTGGGAATATTTTTCATTATCCATAAAGTCCTCCATCACACTGAAAACCAACTCACATAATATTTAACTGTGTACATGCTTGCCACAGACGGGCGTCCCTCAACCAACCAACAACTTTTGCTGTAGCATTAAAACAATTAAAATGTTTTGCTCAATGTATATAAACAGAATAGGACCAATATAGATAACAGAAAGAATAAAACAGAAAGGAGGAAACACAGACGAGTACATGAACTTGTCTGTGTTTTGTTCTCTCTATGTTTTATTCCTTTCTGTTTACTAATATACTTTACCAACACGCACGCTCGTTAGGAATATAATAAGACCCTCGACAATTGTATTTGGCATTCAGAAGCAGTGATACCTCAATAATAAGCATCCATAATGTAAATTATCCATAAAGATGAGACAAAAATGCATGCCTTAACCCAGTTCCTTTCTGAAAACGTTGTCGGTACAGCGGGGTACCCAAGTTAACGGGGTCCGTACTAACGAGACAAACTGTAATATCTCGAGATACGGACCAAATAAAAGCGAAAGCAAATCGGGTGAAAGTGAGGAGCTGGCCAACTTTCGATGTCTGAAAGAAAAATTAGAAAAAGGCTACTTTTGTATTTTGTGGCTTGCCAAACTTGTTTTCACACTGAAGGGCGACTGAGCATAGACAACTGTCCTCTCCCAGTCGGCAATGTTTGCATATCTCCCGCCAGCTAAGGTTGCCGTTGGCAAGGGTGTACTGCAATTACTCAAAATAAACTATATCTTTTGCCGTCTTTGAAAAAAATATTAAATCACAACAAAAATAGGGTGGGTTATCTTCTGCGACATTATGATAACTTTATATCTTATCAGATTCGTTAGGCCCCATTACCATCTGTATGCATAACTGAAGTACCTAGGTATGTTACAGGCACATGGATACAGTACTGTTTATCGGCCATTTTCGACAGCGCAGATGCAGTAGTGTTTAACGACCATTCCCTCCCTCCCCTCCCCTCCCCTCCCCTCCCCTCCCCTCCCCTCCCTTCCCTTCCCTTCCCTTCCCTTCCCTTCCCTCCCCCCTCCCCCTCCCTCCCTCCCTCCCTCCCTCCCTCCCCTCCCCTCCCCCTCCCCCTCCCCCTCCCCCTCCCCCTCCCCCTCCCCCCCCCCCCCCCCCGACATATCGCCCATCCTCTAGTTATTATAACTAAACATCCATAAACTAAATATTAAGAAACATCACCTACTTCCAATTCTCACGACGTCCCGGGAATCACATAAACCGCTTGACCTGCTGCATCAGTACGCGTGACAAGCGAGTCTATAGCGAGTTCTCACGTGTTTATCGCGCCATAGATCTCGAGTCTGCCTCAACCACGATCCGCTACGAACCCGTGACACGTGAGTTTGTAGCGGATTCTCGCGTGTTTACAGCACCGTGGAACGCGAATCCGCCGTGTCCGCGATACGCTGTATCAGTTCCCGTGTCGCGCGGTCGATAGCGCAGATGCAATAGTATTTAATGACCATTTTCGATAAACTTTTGCTGTCTCATTCGCAAAGGTCGTCCTCCCAATAGTTTACACCGTTAAGGCCTGTTCAAAACAGGTGGGCCTTCACACAGGGTCTTATGGCACATTTAATAAATGAACAAATACATAAAACGAGAGAATCTAATGGCGACCCTCGTGGTTTCAAGCGGACGACTCCGAAGACGCACCTCGTCGCCGAAGACGTACGCAGCGAGCTGCTTCCGGTTGATGCTGCCATCCGTGCTGAGCACCCCGGCGCCGAAGGCCTCCACAATCCTGGCGTGGGCGCGGGTGCCCGGACGGTACGTCTCGTGGCCCAACTTGTCGCTGTTGATGACGGCGGCCCCCAAGCGCTCCAGAGCGTCACCGATGTGGCTCTTGCCCGAGCAGATGCCCCCCGTGAGGCCGATGGTGTACGGCCGGCTCGCCAGGTGCGGCTTCGGCTGCGCATGCAAGGTACGAGATTCACGAAAGAATCGTGCGGTAGCGGCGGATCAGCCGCTGGCGTTACTGATGCCCCAATCTCTCAGTTAACGACCATAGAACGTCAAGACGTCCCGAGGAGGGATGTGGTCTGAAACCACAGATGCAACTTAGCGTGCAATGCTGCAGGAAGTCAGAAACCAGATGCAGCTAGATTAGCGTGCTAAAAATATCGTAATGTGAAATTCTGCAAGTAAAAAATCACAGACGCTACGGCGAATGAAAGGTCTCAGGGGAGTTCCTCCCACTTCTTCAGACACATGTCTCGCTAACATAAAATAAATAAAAACAAAATTATTAAATTTACATAAAAAGGTTAAGTGATTTATCCGATTTTTAAAAGAAATCAATCTCGTTACTTTTTAATTTCACACACAAAAAAAGTGTTTTATTAAGAAGTCTATGCCAGTCACAAGTTGAAACCAGAAAAAGTTTACCTTTTCTCGTCTAAAGACCCAAGTTTAATTTTTCTTTTCTACATGGAATAAAAAGTAATACTACCACACTAATGCCATCAGAGTGAATGCTTCATTAAATGACATATTGCAAATGCTTAGTGCAAACAACTCCATTATCGGGTATATCTGTGGCCCTCAGCAGTCTGCATAGTCTGAATGGCACCCGGTCCCCCAGAAAGATAAAGGGAAGCCTCACCTCAGGTGGACTGATAACACTGCCCAAGAGCCTCCGCCTGAGCGAAGAAGAGCTAACTTTGAAATCCTCGTGCCTGTTCCGACAGACGTCCTCAGCTAGGCCCACGGAGCGAATCACCATTGGCGGCATGCCCTGCAAAGCATTTCAAATTAAAATTCTAAAGAGACACCAAACAATTTGAAGTCCATGCGGAGCGCAAGGGGTGCGATGATGCCAGAACGCCGAGCTCTTGTTGGCTGATGGAAAAAAATAGTGGGTAGACTGAATAACAGGCTGAAGTTGAGCTAGTTGGAACATGATGCAAAAGCAAACGGTTAGCTAGAACGAAGGGACAGTCAGCAATGTGTATGTCTCTGTTTGTCCCTGTCTGTGTTTTGTCCCTTCGTTCTAGCTGACCGTTTCCTTTTGCAGTGGTATAGGCCTCGCACGGCATCTAGCATTGACGTCTACCCACTATTCTTTCAATCAAAGCCAATGAAAGCTCGGCGTCGTTCTGACATCACCGGAACTCCCGTGCAAGAAGCAGACGACTTGCTATCCGCATAGCCATCAATTGCTGCAAGAGACAAGTTTTCTTTGTCCCGAGCAGTAAAAAAGCTGCAAGAAAGAAAGGTGTCCCTCTTGCACACCCCTGCCAACGCCCATGACTGGTGTGAAGGACTGTGAAGAGGGAGAGGTGCAACGGCGATCGTGCCTAGGTGTTTTGTGTTTTTTTAGCTTTTTGGAGGGCTAGATTGAGGTTTTTCCGCTGTGATCGAACAATACATGGGGTTAAGCCACCACAATCCAGTCCAGTTGTGAAAACGGCAGCAGAGTCCAGCATATGGCATGCAAGAGAGAAACTACAAGAGCATGCCTGTAGCCCAGGTTCCGCAATGAAGCACATGGTACTCTCACAATGTGAGCACAGACAGTGAAATGTTGTTTCAAAGCTTTGAATTATGTTCTGAATGGAAGACACGCAAGTTAGATATTTTATGACAGTTTATTTATGTGTTTGATAATACTGCTAATTCCAAGAAAAGATTATATCATAGTAAGGAAAGATAACTCTTTCCTTACCATGCTCAAAGGCCAGGGGTCGGCAACCCGGGGCTTTATGTGGGCCCTGGTACGACACAAGAAAAGTCCTTCCTCATGCAGACTCAAGTACCACATGGCAGTTTTGACCTCAAATGGGGAAAGACAGAAACAAGAAGCACTTAGAGAACATCTTCACTTCCTTTCTACCTTTTCTTAGCCCGTCCGCCCCTGCCCCCTCCCCAACCCAACCCAACCCTGCATAATTTTTTACGACCCCTGCTACAGGACATTTATCACATATATGCTGATTTCTGTGCACTGCCAAAATTAGAATTTGGCAAGTTGGAACATGTTTTGCACCATCTTGTGGATAGCTGAAGAACCATAATTTTGTTTTCAATACAGCTTTGTGTTTTCTGAGAAGATGGTGAGCTGTCACAAGCTATAAATAATATAGAAGTTATAGACAATTCCATGGTTCGCTTAATGCAGATAAGCAGTGTCGAGAGAAATGCTCTGTCTATAAGAATAAAGTCCAAAGCTTTTGACATAACAACCGGCAATGGCATGTTTCTGGGCACTTTCTACAGAAATTTAGACTACACCACTTCCATTTTAGGCTTATGTTTGACTTCATTCTATACATACGTTTTCATCAAAAAGTATGCCGGTCGTGTCATCGTTAGTACAGTCTTTGCTGTGTGTCATACATGGCACACCGCAGGCAAATTTAACATAATTAACATAGAAATTAACATAATTTCTATACTATGCTTTCACAACTATTGAGAAATTTTCCTTCTGCTGGAAAATAACTAAAAGTGAAATAGGCACAAAAAAATGTTTTTGCAAAAATTATTCGGAAAAATTGTTTCCCAGGCTATACCTAAATGTTCAAAACATTATGAAGCAAACATGATTTCAGTAACAATCGTGGACTTGCTATGGCACCAATTATTATGGGGTACTTCAGATACATTACTAGGAAGAAACATCTGCTGCTTGGATATAATTGCTCGCGTATGGCCTCAATTTTGACATATGAAGCACTAAATTACACACTTCAGGTGCTGGAGCGCATAACAATTTCAAGGGAAATAAAAAAAGGCTCCACCGCTTACAATTGCTTACAATGAGGAAAGATAAATGAACCCGTCGATTAGCGCGGAAGATGTTTCGCAGAACTATTTTTTCTGAAAACGAGTTAGAACCTAGCTGGACTACTAACATGGAGCAAAAACACTAAATATCGCAATCAACTACACTCCTCACACCCTTCACATCAATCATACCAACAACGTTCGCAGATAAAAAAAAAACAAAAAAAAAACACTTCTTTTGTTACATGTACACACCAAAAATAATTACCATTCACAGCTGGTAAAAGTCAACTTATCACTTCCCCTTTTTTCCTTTTTTTTTTTCTCCATCTTACGGTCCTATTTATGAACGCATGCCAGCTGTATCAAACATCAGCAGCGGCTGACGGCGGGCACCGCAACTAACAGTTGGGTGCTGCACAAATCTGAAAAGTGTCACTGTGGGATGGGATCCTGCAAAAACGCGTTGAAAAGACCTTTACGGAGAGACTTGCAAAAATAAAACTGCACTCGCATCAGAAATTTTATAGAGGTATGTAGGAACGATAATGGAAAGCCGTCTTGCCGGCCAATCACCCAGAAATATGTTTAATTCTTACAGCGTGCTACCCGATAGGGTCCCTTTCTGCCGAAATCCCGCGGTGCTCGTAAGCAAACAAGAGAGGGACAGCGCTGTCACACTCTCAGCGGCGTTCGTACGCGAAAAACCCGCATGATCGCGGGGAGACAGTTTCTCCCCATTGACATTGCCCGCCGCACAACCTATGCAACACCACCTCCTAGAAGCTGAGGCCGTAGCGCTCAGAGTGTTGACATTATAATGGTCAGGGAAGAGAGGCCACGTCGAGAAAAGGCACCGCACTCGGCTTCTCTTTAGCCTGGCCGCGTCGTCTGCTCACTCAGGTCACGTGGTTTGTTCACGCGCATTTACCCGTTATTAATATACGTTTTAAATGCGCAGTCTTGTATAATTTACGATTATGATATATACAGGGCCGTTGAGATAAATCCGGACTTTTTCCAAATTTCGTTTCTCAACACTACAGTGACGATAAACGGCTGTATTGCGCATCTGCGGCCCCGTGATTCGACAGCAGACAATCGTGCATCTGATAAACAATTCATGATTTGCTCAAAAATGAGCAAGGAATGCGACCTGAGGGCGGCAATATTTGAACTGCCTTGCGCCGGAAAGTCGCATAAGCAAATCGTTGCATGGTATGTCTAGAAGAAGACACAAGTCTACACCATTGTCAAGAAGTTCAGAAAATCTGTCAGCAAGGAAGACGTTATGGCAGACCGAGCAAAGCACAAAAAACGGTTGATATTCATTTTATCTTCCCCTCTGTGTGTTTTCCTGAATATGGTGAATTTTTCGGATTTATCTCAACATACAATGTGCTACCAAGGTTATCCCATCACCGCAAGATCACAGTGCAGTCTTGGAGCTCCCCGCGCTTTGCGAATGAACCGGCTCCTTGAGCGATATTTGCTCGCCTCATAAGGGCTCCGATTCTGGTAAATTTACGCTTTGTGTGAACAGCTCATTGTCTGAAAAAGAACGCCGAGACATTTCAGAAAAGAAAGGAAACGAAAAAAAATTAAAGCCGTTAACAATTCCCCGTTACGCCGGATTAGAGTGCAGCTCTTGAGGAGGAGGACGGAAGGGTACTGAGGGGAGGGTATACCTCTCCTCCCTCCTCCTTTCCCCATTCTTCAATCTCCTCCGGTGGGGGGGGGGGGGGGGGGGAGGTCAATGTGCCCCCCCCTGAGGTCACGGGGGGGGGGGGGGGCTCGCGTGCGACATTTCCCACAATGCACCGCGCGGTTACGTTGCCGCCGCTCTAGCCGGAAACGAGCGCCTAAGAGCTGCGCTCTAAAAAGAGAAATTCAGTCATCGCAGGAAGGTGCACACACTCCCAGGCTTCTGCCGGTGTTCTTGTGTGTGCTTCTTTTGTGTTCCTTGATACTACGGCATTTACGTGGATTTGCGGTCCTGCTACGGTGTGAGTGACACGTGTGGCCGGCCGATTATCGATAGACCCCTCTCCCTGGACAGGGAGCGAGTTCTTGGAGTTTGTGTTAACATTTTTTCGTGACGGAAAATGCGGGACGTTTGGATTCGATCGACAGATGAGAAATAACTTATTTATGAGCTTTGTTGGTCATGTGGAACGCGAGTAGAGAGCTGCAGTGGGTTGCTCCAATCTCGTGATAGAGTGGAATCTCGTTCTTCGTCGTTACCCGTGTGCAATTGCGCCGACATTTGTAAATATGCGTGGTATAACATTCAAGTTTTTACTTGAAGGTGAATAACAATGTTATGCGCTATTACTAAAAGTGTGTTGTTTAAGCTTCTCTGTTTGTACATACCCTCCCCGTGCGACTAAAGCACTAATCAGAGGGAAGCGCTCGTGCCCAGAACGTGATAGGGGAGGTTCCATTTCTTTGCTGTGCTATGTTAAAAAACACAGGGCTGTGGGGACAACAAGCTCGATAAAGCGCCCCCTATAGTTCGATCTCCTGCCCAATATCATGTTACCGCCAAGGGTGTAGGCTGATCTGTTTGCAGAGTTGCTCCGTTTGGTTCCTTTACGTCGCATAGACGGAGATGCTACACGCCAGCTGATGAAACAGGCACCGCAAAGCATGTTAATGGGTGGCGCCTTTCGTTCGCTCCGGCCCATGGGCATTTTTCGGTCGGTTGTACAAGAATGTATTAGGCATTTTTCCTTGAAAACTACCGTCCACCTCCGTGTTGTCAATTTTATCTTTTCCTGACCACCCCGTAGCATTTTTACGCTTTTTAATAATAATGAAATTGCAAAGAATGGGTATGTGCATGTCCCATTTATGGCAACCGCGTTAGCGTCAATTTGCCATATTTCTCGCTTTATAACTTCAAAGCCAAACAAATATTGCGTTATGTTTTTGCAGACTCTGTTAGTCCATGCTATAAGCATTAATTTCGGATAGTTAAAAAAATATTAAAGAAGGAATTTTTTTTTA